TGTGGCTTCCCCTTTCCGATCACGCATAGATCCGATTATTTGGTCATCGACGGAAGGTTCTCTGATCGGAGTCGGATCGGATAGATGTGTCCCGGCCTTAAGCCCCCTTTACGCATTGCCAACCCTCCTCTAGACGAAATTAGCGCATTACCTTCGATTATCCACAGTATTGGTCGGGGCTAACGCTCCAGAATTAACATCCACACCCATGGACTCCACATCCAGAGCCGCATACGCTTTCCTGCCAGCCGTTACATTCACCGAACTTCTCCCTGTATGGCCGCCCATATTGCAGATATCGTCCAACTCCTGATAGATGCCTTCGTACAGTTTTTCCGTGTTGGAATTCAAAGCGTCTGCAATTCGATTCGACGGTCCCAAGTGGTAGTTGGGGTTCTCGTAACTGAGAAGACCATTTTCTGCAAACAATCATTGCTTTATCAGACTATGAAGGCTTTCACGACCGGTTAAATCACATTTAGGAATGTTTTCCGGGCTTTGAAGCCGTAGTCTATTCGTCCACAACTCCGACTGTCCGACAGTCTTAGTCGGAAAGCACGGGAGATCACTTGCCCACTGCCTCATCGCCTTTGATAATGTCCACCGCAGTTGTGGACGAAACGTCAGGAAGAAATTCCCATAGACCACGGCTTCAAAGCCCGGAAAACATTCCTAAATGTAATCATTGCTTTGATCGAGAGCCAAACTTGGCATTTGGTCGGCAAAATGGCATTGAAAGCGGACAGGCCTCTTTACCGAGAAAGACGTCCTCAGCGTCTTGAGAGTGCTGAATAGCGGCCACTGCTGCCATGCCACGCGTCAGCGCCAGCAGTTTGTTGTATGGTGATACGTCTGCTAGCTCGCCGCCCAAATAGCTATTTACGTGATAATTCAAACGGAGAGAGCCACGTAGCTCACCGCACAGGAGCATGCCCTTTCAGAATCTATTCTGGTGCAGTCGTTTGGATTACCTATGGACAAAGAAAAAAACACGTTAAAGCCACTAACAGGGTCTTTTTGTTAGGTATTCAAATAAGTGGAGAATAATTCAATGTTTCAAAATTTAGTTTTTGGATTGAGATCTCAAAGCAATTAGATTAGTAGGTACATGATTTATGTAAGAGAATGGCTCAATTTCACCTCACTACATCCGTTAACAATGCTTGCAAAAAGTTTGCATCTCATCACAGCTGGAAATTTTTCTAGTGGAAAAAGAATCCGCATCCACGATAAATGCGACTTAAGTTGCTGAAGGTTTCGAAAGGGAACGGACACGATAGAAGCTATATTCAGCTTATCACCGATCGCAGAAAAATGTCTTGCGCTCCTTTAAAGCTGTTAAACGAATCGAGTTTAAAAAAATTATAGAAGCTCTACAAGAAACAGGACTGAAAAATCTGGACGGACGACATACCGGGTGATCTTCTTTTTGAAACAATCATCACATGATCACAAAATATCAGATAGATGTTTTGCTGATTTGAAGTAGGCCTGGGTAATTCAGTGAATTTTTAGGAGTTGGCGCAGTGTTGGGTCAACCCAACGCACCGGCGCAGTAACTCAGTTGATTGCTGGGAAAATAATGATATTTTTTTAGTTGTTTCTAGGTTTATTATAAACGCCATTTATTAGTCATATTTTTAGTTTCTTCAAAATTTCAGAATTCTCTAGTTTTAGCAAAGTTGCTCTTTTTTCTCAAGTTTCACTTAAAAATACTAACAATATTCAAGTAATTCCAGCTAAAAATTATAAAATATTTTTTTAGAACACGCCTCCTTCGTCGCTTTGTAAAAAAATCCCCTTCCAGCTTCGAATTTGGGACAAAAATCAAATATTTTTTTATCAAACAAAGAAGAGAATAAGTGAAAATTTATAATAAATTACCTCTTGGAAAACTCGTCACCCCGATGCCTCTGAAGACTGCGGAGTTTGTCAAAAAATTTACATTTTAGTTTTGACTGAATTTTTTTCATGGTTTACTTTCTACTCAGAAACGCTCTATTTTGTAGTGTTTCACTTAAAAATATGGACAATCTGGAGGTCTTTTACGCAAAAAATGACAAGATAAATTTATAGCTTTGTAGACATTTTACAAACACTTTTCAGCGTCGAATTTGGGACAAAATAAATTTCTTCAGTGGTTTTTTGCCGAAAAACCATGATGATGTCCAGATGAGAAACTTTGTGCATCTCAGGGGTGGATATCGCTCTTTCGATATTGTGTTTGAAGCGCAATTAATTTTTGAAATATTGTCTAACAATTGTAGCCAATTTTGCCTGATGATAGCGCAAAACTTCGAAACTTTCCTGCGAAATTTCTGCCGGGGAATTGATGGTTTCGAGCTTCCCATTGATTTTAGTTTTGAAAATTTGAGGTTAGTAGGGAATGGAAAAATTGGGGCAAATTGCCCGAAATTTGTGTCAAAATCGAAAAAAAGCCAGTGGCGTGCTGGGTTTGGCATTTAGCCCAAAAGTGAATACCAACTTTTTTGCGCATTTTGGCCCGCCCGAGCTAGTAGCGTACCCCAGAATGTCCCAGCTTGATCAGTTTCGAAGATTTTTTAACCTTTTTGGAAACAATTTTTTTTTTAAATCCACTCATGCAAAACACCAGGAAAAACCACCAGATAGATACAATTTTGAATGGTTTTGTGAAGAACGACAATTTTTGACAAAGGGTTTTGTTGGCGCGAAAAAAATGAAATGTGAAAATGGCCCTAAATCTCTGGGGAGAAATTTTGGGGCAAAAAATAAAAAGGGCGTTTCGGAAAAAATTCCTTTGCAGGGCGTGGCATATGGATAGCTGCCCCAGAATCACTGCTCAGATAACTTGGGAAAAAATCCCCCACACAGCTAGGGGGAAAAAGGGGCAACCCGGTGCCGACTGTTCACCCGCCAATGAAACCACCATAACTGGCTTAATCGAAATTTTTCCAAAACCCTCCGTGGAACCTTTTATGTGGCCCTTGACCTCCTCTATCCAGTGACGTGCCTAGATTTTTTCTGCTGTTATCAGTTTAGGAGAAATGCGGTTAATTGTGTCCTATCAGGTGGTGGAGCTGAGCACGCTGCCCACTAAAGGGACGCCACTGGAAAAACTTCACTGCCTCCAGTGTTCGTACGATTACATTTTCACCGAAGTGAAAGGAGCCCTCATTTCCGTCATTGCCAAATACTCAGGTACGCCTCTGTTTCCAAACCCCAGAAAAGAAAAATAGAAGAATTCCAAAAATCAAAAAAGAAAAGGTCTTCTCAAAAACCGATGACAAAACTGAAAGTTTTTTAAAAGCGCGAAAAACGTTATTTTCTGATACTTTCCTTTTTTCCGACAATCATGGGGTCTTTTCAAAATTATAAAATTACTTTGGTTAAAAAATTCTTTCCAGATAATTTTAGAAATCGCTTTTCAGCTTCGTATTTGTCACAAAAACCAAATAAGTTTTTAAGATTAGTAATAATTAGTAATTAAGATTATCTTGAAAAAACGACCAGAGAGCAAAGGCATACAGAAATTATTTGGACAATTCGCTACTCTCATCGCTCTGAATATGTTAAAGTTTTTCATACGCAATTTTTCCTACGCAAAAATACGCATTATTTGCGCAAGTTTTACTTAAGAATACTAACAACCTTCAAGTATTTTCCGTGAAAAATTAGAAATGAAATTTTATTGAAACACTCGCCTACTTAAGTAACCGCTTTGTAAACATTTTTCGAAAACCTTTTGCAGCTTCGAATTTTGGACAAAAATATCTGCCCGAACAGAACAAGCGAAACTTTATAATCAATTCTGATTTATTTTCCTGACTGCGTGTACTTGTTATGATATTCCTATCCTTCTTGGGTTTCACTCAAAGTGTGAAGTAAAAATTTTTGAAACATGGTTTATTTCATTACGTTTCGGCGAGACAACAGCGCCATCATCAGATTTAAAATTTTACATAAACTACAAACACCAATTCACAATTAAAACATGTATAAAATTAATAATTTACAAAGTGTTAAAACATTCATCAGTTTTTGAGGGGAAAAAAATTGTTTTCCTTCTGGGAGAGCAACACATGCACTCCAACAAATGAGGTAATTTTTTCCGATGTTTTGCTCTCCCAGACGGAAGAAATTTTTTTTTCCCTCAAAAACTGATGAATGTTTTAACACTTTGTAAATTATTAATTTTATACAACATGTTTTAATTGTGAATTGGTGTTTGTAGTTTATGTAAAATTTTAAATCTGATAATGGCTCTGTTGTCTCGCCGAAACGTAATGAAATAAGCGATGTTTCAAAAATTCTTACTTCACACTTTGACTGAAACCCAGGAAGGATAGGAAAATTTATAATCAATTATTTGAAAAACTCGACACTCGAACACCAGTCGTCGCTGTGAATAATTTGCTGTTTGTTAACTCCGGTTTCCTCACTTTTGGGTCAATATTTCTAAACAAAACTTTCTGTAAATAGAAGAATGCGGTTTTCCCTATCGTTTTACTGTCAAATATTGGCAAATTGAGTCTCTTATGCAAAAAAATTAAGAGATCGATTTTCCAAAAAACTCGTTCTTCTTATAGTTTGGCATTCTTTTGGCATCTTTTTCTAATACCCATTTTACCAATTTAATTTTAAGGGCAAAATCGCGAACTTGCTTTTGTGCATACACAAGAAACAAATCGATTTAACAAAGCTTCTGAAAAAAAAACTGCAAACTCCTTTCAATATTACATTTCCATTAAGTTTTTAATTTCTCAGAAACTGAAAACATGTTTCATATATTGTCGGCTTGTTATCATCAATAGAACTATCGCGTGCAAGGAACCGGCAATTATTATTCTGGATCTAGACTAACAGGCACCAGATTAAGCCAGACGGCGAACGCAAAACAACATGAAAACCGGGAAAATTGCTTCCGAATTTCGAGTGCCCGGGGTAATACACTGAAAATGGGATCCGAAATAAAAGTGATCGGTTGACCTATAAAAGCTGATCGATTTGCTATTTTACACAGAATAATTTACATGATTTTACTTGAAAGATTACGGCATTTGTCCGTTCATTTCAATATCGAACCAATCGGACGTTCAGCAGCTAGAACACCTTTTCGAGAAAACTGTTAGACAAAAAATGCTTTCCGATTGGAACTTTAACTTAAAAAATCGACCTAAAATGTACAAAATAAAAAAGTCCCACGACGCAAAGTAGACTCAAGTTCTTTGATGAGTCAGACACCCTTGTGTGGCCGTAATTATTCGAAATATCCGTTCGAGTTCCCAGAAAGCAATTAGCATAGTAATCCGATTCGAACCCTAAAAGCGTTAATCGACCGAGCCACAACTCCCAGCAATGAAATCGGTTTCCACTCAAATGGACACAATGTTGGTATAGTTTCCATTTAGAACGTTTTATGATAAATATTTTATACCAGATATTGCGTGCTACAAAAACGCGACTCGACGGCGCCCCACATCGATCCACTCTACTAACTTTACCTTAACAAAAAGCAAAACATTCTTATTAAACTCCCAAATGAATTTTGTTCCCGTTTGCAAATCCAGACGCATCATCTTTCGTTCGTGCAATAAGTGGCGGCGGATAACATCCCCCGAGAAATAACTCCCGTCACATATCCAGAGATTTGTATTAGTTCAATTTATGCGAATAGTTTCGCCATCGATTTCCTGTTTTGCTGATTCCGAATGCGGATACGAATCCTTAATCATACCCGAATTTAGCAATAGAGTTTCACATTACTTAGCGTCTTTTCAACAAGAGTTTGCATTTGCTAATAACAAATTTATTTCATGGGGTGATTCAAAATTGGCGTCATTCCTTTTAAGGCGTAATAGGGGCTCACTTCGGTACCAGAATTTTTTTTTCGATAATTTCTAGAAGATATTAACACGAATACCGAATTTCAACTTTGTTATTAAGCATTTTTTTGAAACTGTTCCATGTTTAATTGGAAGCATAGAGGAATACTTAAGCATTCAAAAAGAAAAATTACGATCTTTGCTTTAAATTACCAAAATTTTTTATATCAAAAAAGTTCTCTTCTACAATTTTTTGATGGAAAGTCAAAGCGGCAATGATTTTTTTGTCATTAACAGATAGTTCCAGGTGGATCGCCCTTTGTCAATAATAACAAAAATTTGTTAAACTGGGACTTACTTTGAATTTCCTTTCACGAATTTGCGGATATGCGAAGAACTCAAGCCATCAAAGGGCGAGGAGAGTGGTTCCAGAAAGATAGTGGAGGACAATTGATGTTCGGATTCCAGACACAGAGGAACAAATCTTGGATATAATTGCAGAAGAGCCTTTCAGGGGCACTCAGGACATTTCACAACAACTGACACTTTCCCAGCCACCAAATAAATACCGGCTACATTCCTACCAAGTTAAAATCAAATCCTGGGTTCTTCAGTCATTTATTGTTCATTTATCAATTAAAAAAACGTTTCGGTGTTTTCCACCATCATCAGTTTCAATGTGTAGCGTTGTTGCTACTTTACGCCTTGGCATGTATTTGGAGTATTCATACAGACATTCAGAATACTCCAAATACATGCCAAGGCGTAAAGTAGCAACAACGCTACACATTGAAACTGATGATGGTGGAAAACACCGAAACGTTTTTTTAATTGATAAATGAACAATAAATGACTGAAGAACCCAGGATTTGATTTTAATTTGGAATTGAAACACAGTCAGGAAAGTACGTACAAATTCCTACCAAGTATGTAAGATCACATTAAACCAATGGATTAAATACACCGGTATAAATTGAGCAGGAGTAAATTAACCGAATATGACACACTTCTCAAGAAGAGTGCGCAATAGGGTGATACACAGGCACTTGTTTGGAGTTACAGACTCAAGTGTATATTTTTGTAATTTGTAAACCAATTAGTAGTTCGAGGTTTAGAGTTTCAAAATAGGTTCCGTCATTCAACGATTCCTGTTGAATTTACCGTTTATCCTTGTCTATCTTATTGTCACTTTCTCTATTTATCCATGATTACTGGAGTTTTAAATAATTTCGAAGCAACAGGTATTTATGTAATGTTAATTAGGCAGATTACCTTGAAAAACATTGTTGCCGCTTTTCTAATATAGTTTTTTGCAAATTTCTCAGTTTTGAATAATAATTAATTTTTTTACAATTGTTTTTGTACTCCTGAAACACCGCCAGACAACAGCTTCAGAGGAATGACGCCAATTTTGAATCACCCTGAATAAGTAGGTGGATGAGTTCGCTGTAGGAGGTTCCTAGATACTGCAGACCCATTTGCTTCATGGTTAGTTGCTCCTTTTATGTGAAGTTATGTAGAAGCACTCCTTCTTCATTAAACTTCGGTACTAAAGAAAAACCGCACAATCGGAGTTTAAAAGTAATCGAAAAACCTCAGAAACATACCCATATCTTTAGAAGTTCTGATGCAATCCATTTCGGGATACATTATCAGACTCAAGACGATCGATATCGAAAAAATCATTATGACTGTTCCAATATTTTCAGCCCTTTCGGAGATAAAACACACAGAAAATCTGGATAAAATGTGAAAAATAACAAGATGACAAATGAATCAGTGAATAGCTAGAACCCTATGCAGCCGCGTGTTGTGCGATAAATTTGCATCTTCTTTCCTCAATTCAACGATACTGAGATCGTTTACTGGGCTTCGTAAATAATGTTCAAACTTACATAAGCGGTACCTAGATATGTTGGATAACCTTGAAGTACACAAACAATATAAGAATTTTCGTAATATGATATCCAACTTTGATTATTTTATGTAAAAACCCCAAATTAGTTTTGTCTGATCTTAAAAAATGTAAATATGTTTTTTCATCGCGAAAAACAAATTGTCTAGTTATTCCCCTCTTATTTAAACATTATCTTGGGAAGCTTTTCTATAATCTGCAAACAACTCTCGTGAAAATGGAAATGAATATTAGTTTTAAAAACATTAAAAGTTTTTCTGGAATGGAATAGAATCGACTGACACAGAAGACGAGTAGGCGCCCTGATTTGACCCCATCACCTTTCACAAATGAAGTTTTCGTTGCAAAAAATCAAGTATTGCAAGTACTAATTCTCATTTTTTGTACACTAGCAAGTACGAAAAATTAAGCGATTTACTAGCCAAATCACTGAAATGATCAATTGAATTCTGCAAAACAAATCAAGACAACTCCTGCAAATTCAATTAGAATGCAATCAGTAGCTCACCCTCTAGATGCATAAAAGAAAAAAAGTGGAAAACAGCAAGAAAAAAAACCTGTTACCCTGATTGCACGGCGTCTCAGATTCATCGCACAGGTCAGTTATACGACTTCTACGGCTCTCAGCTACTCACCCAAACGGTAGTATTGATTCCACATTAGGCGATTCTTCGGCTTCGGACAAAAGAACTGCGACGCCACAAATTGCTCTAATCAAAATAGGGATGCTGATCGAGGCGCCTATTAATCCAACTCGCTTACTCAGTGCCCACAATAGTCAAATCAATGGGTTTTAGACTGGACTGTTCAGGCAATGGCAAGAAGATACTTGTCGGATGGATGATAACCCGTGCGCTCGTCTGAGGGGTGGAAAAGCTAGACTAAAGGCAATTTTCCGTGCTCGGCGCAGACCTCAAACGGTTATTGATTTTTCCTGGAAGCGACGGAAAATGACTTAGTTCCAGCGACAGCGCTTGGGGGTTGTGGGAAAAACGGAAAAAGTCCAAGCCGCTGCAAGCAGTCCCATAATCCAAGCCCAAACGGACGAATTCCAGCAGAGCTCAGCTACTCTCACTGCTTTAGAACTCATTGACTTTGCGTAAACCCGCTGAAGCAGGGCTTTGCTCGAATTTTTCAAAGGTGCACTAGCAAATTCAAAGGGCGCCACTGTGGGAAGGGCTTTTATTGGACGATCTAATTAATAAAGAAAAACCGGAGAAAAAGACACGAACGGGAAGCTAATGAAGTTATCGTTAAGGGTAGATGCTTCTATGGGAGTTTGCTCGTAAATTGTGCAGTTCGCCACATATGTGTCTGTATTACAGCCTTTAACAAACGGGCTAAACTCATAGAACCATATAGATGTGAAAGTTATGCAAGTATTACCAAAATCCGGCCTGCAATTTTTGAACCATTGAAGCCTGGAGATTTTGTTGAATATAATCACTTTAATCGTCAAAATTCGACAAATTAATAAAAAAATACCATCACAATGACCTTATATTACCTACTTAATATTAAATTTTACATTTACATGATCCGGGCAGAGTTCGGTCGCAATTAATCCGTATTATCAACGCTCTACTGTATTCAGCTTTCTTACAAGAAGCCAAAACATCATCAGTTTCATTATGCAAAAAGTGTGGAAGCTTTTGCATCTCGGTCAAGAAACTGAACTTATTTACATTAATTAAACTTCATTGTAAGTATATACTTTCCTGACTGTGTTTCAATTCCAAATCAAAATTAATTCCTGGGATTCAGTCATTTATTGTCTTTATTTATCAATTAAAATACGTTTCGGTGTATTTTTCCACCATCATCAGTTTTTCTAAAATAACATAGTTAAAAAAAAATTTCATTAATTTAAAAAACAATCACAGTTCGTCAACAGCCTCATCATATCACACATTAAAATACATCACAATTGCAACTATGTTATTTTAGAAAAAAATTATATCTATTTTTTAACTATGTTATTTTAGAAGAACTGATGATGGTGGAAAAATACACCGAAACGTATTTTAATTGATAAATAAAGACAATAAATGACTGAAACCCAGGAATTAATTTTGATTTGGAATTAATTAAACTGTACATTATTTTTTACTTTAAGTATCTAGTAGATGTTGAGTAAATAAGGGATTTCATAAGCAATTATTTTTTTATTCGATGCGTCGTAAGAAAATATATAAGGCCAAACTCATTGTCGGTTCCGCATTGCACAGAGGGACCTGAGAAAGAGCTTTTATTCGAAGAAAAATAAGTGCAGCATACTTTTCTTTAAATTATTATTGTTCAATAAGATGCATGTGCCCACGTCCCAATTGCTTTCGATAATATTCATAAATTTAAATTTCTTAAGATAACTTTTATGCTTTTGGATCACAAATTAAGTGCTTTCGGAATGATGTATTTAGCAAATATGTCCGCAATTATTGATACTTTAACACTGAGCAACCCTATTTGTAAAATAATATTGTCGCTAATTTCGTGTCCTCGTTAAAATCGTGATTTCAGACATTCTCTACTGAAATAAAGTAAGTTAAGGTGTTTCCAGTTCTTTGCCTTGCACCCATTTGCTCCCAATGACAACATCGATGTTGAATGTATAGATCAGAAACTAAACAACTTTCTCGCTTCTACAAATTTTTGCACAAGTGTTTTTGTGTATTTATTTGCCAAAATAGTTTTCTATTTCAATATCTTGTTAATTGTGTATTAAAATAACCATGAACAAAATTGAGAAGTCCTGAAATGGCCCATATTCATAGTCGTCCGTCAACTACATTTTATGGAATATAGATTTTCGACAAACTGTTAATTTTTATGTATTTTTTTGCCTTCTGCTTCTCAAAAGGCTAGATGTGGTGGAAAGCGCAAATTCTGCATTCCAAATATATGTTAAACAAATTGGCGCTCTTATAGTGGTTATCATGCAAGTTCAATAATACTTTTCTGTTAACCGGTCAGTTTTGTACACTTTATGGGCCCTAGACAGTAACTTTTAAATAAGTGCGCTGCTAAAAAGACATGAAAAGTGGTCACTGTTTTGGGAAATCCCAATAATAAACCATTAAACTTTTCAGATAATTCCTTAAAATTCGCATGTAAATTGGAGTTAAAATTTCATTCTATGGGTCTGTGTATTTGGGCGCAATAAAGTTCAATAACCCTATTGTTTATTTAACACAAATTTCCTGCAGGATTCTCTGGCGTTCTAAATGATGATTTGAATTGTTCAAAAAGGAAGATAATTAAGAACTAGTAGGACTTAATCGGGCTGCTTTTAGATGGTAGAAAAATGAAAATTCCTATTCCACCCACTTACAAATTTACCTGATTTGTTGTCCATGTTTCCAAACCGCTGTCGTCTGAAGCACAATAATGTACACTAATTCCCGCGACTTTTTTCACATATCACGCACTTGTTCATTCAAAATGTTCAGTTTTTATTAACAATAAACAAAATGATTTGTTTGTGATTAAATGTGACACTTTACTGTCAAAGGGTTGTCAAATACGCCCCTAGCTGGATGGATATTATATTGATAAAAATCCGGTGTTCTCAAGAACTCAACAATAAATTGGTAGACATTTGAGATGCATTTACTGCATTGAGATGACTATTGATTGAGATGACTATTGTCTATTGATCCCTTAGTGTATTTTACAGGCAAGTATCAGAGCAGAAGTCCTGATTATTTGAAATTAAAGACCTAAAAAAAATGTAAAAATACGGTTGTAAAGCAGGCAACCATTGTCCAGTTTGACAACCACTCACCGGTAAATACAAACAATGTCGGAAATTCAAATTTCCAAACATGGAAAATTTAACTCCGGCAATTCAAAGTGTTAACGAGAAAACATTGAAAGAACTATCGCCACAAGAATTCCAGCAAGTGTTAAGTGCGTGGTTTCATGATAAAGGAATCGTCCAGGACATGAAGTCCTACCTAAAATTTCAAATGATCAACGTGCTTCAAAACACTGTTATTGGAAAGAACATTAAAACTTACTCCTCGGGTTCAGCCTACTCACTTTCCCAACAAGCATTGCACTTAATTGTTGTCGAGTATTTGCTTCATTATCAATGTGATTTTGCCTTATCCCTATTCAGCTCGGAGGTGAACATTAGAAACTTGCTACCAGAAGCGAAACGTCTGTTTAGTTCAGAACCCACGACCAAAAAACCGATCCGGTTTGATAAAGAGAATCTAAAAAATATCCTGGAAATAGTGGGAATATGTAAGGACAGTCAGGAGCATCTGAAAATCATTAGCAAGTACTTGGAGAGTGATGAAAATCCCTTGCTGTTTTGCATATTGAGTCTAATTGGCAAAGAACCGACAAAGGCTGGTAAAAATTCCCAATATTCTCAAGGTAAAGCAGTGACTCATTCTAATTAAATATACATGTACACGGGCACTCCCAAATTATTAATGGAGCTTCTCTAAGAAAACCAATTTTTTTTCATTCGTGAATAAAGCGAGTCATTCGTTGAAAGCCTCGGGATATTTTGATTTCCCAAATTACGAGAATGGCAAAATTATTTTTTTGTAACTGCTTTAAATTGTGCGATTTTTAGGTGTGACTCAAAAAAGGTTCATTTGTCTTTTCATTGTTCCATGATGATAATTAATTATTTCCAGACGAAGCCTGTGAAGACGATTTTTTTAAAAACATGCGCCTAGTGATGCAATCGCAAAACTTAGCGCACAAGACCCAGACGCATTTACTACATAATCTCAAAGTCTGTCTCGATTTAAAGAACAAATATTTCGAACATCAGGTAGTGCAATTGGTGGACAAATTTAGAAAAGAAATAAATGCTCGCGATGAAAAACTGCACCACGCCCAACGAAGAACTAAGCATTTGGAAAAAAAGCTTCTTGCCACCCAGGAGGAAAACCAAGGACTGAGGCAGCAGATGCAGTCGTTGTCAACTGAGGAGAAACGCAACTTAATTGAGAGCGCTCAATGTTCATTGGGTCATTGCAATGAACAATGTGCAGAAAACCAAAAGTTGTGCGATTTATATCAGAAGGAAATTGAGAGACTAAAGGATCTAAGCAATCAGCAAAAGCTCAAGTTTGAACAACTTAGTTCAAGTTATGGCAATTTGCTCAAAGAATTTGAGAGTTGCCAAAACAAAACTCACTTCGTCAATGCGAGAATAGAGAAGGGCGTTGCTCTTGAGTCGGAGAAAGGTTAGTCATATTCCAAACAATTTTTAGATTGACTTATTATTCAACGCCCCATCCTTTAGATCAAAAGGAATCGACGAGTCTCAGCTCAAATTTGATAACAGAGGAAATATTACAAAACGCCAGATACAAACTAAAGCTACTAGAAGACGAAGGTAAAGAACTAGATATAAGGTTCAAGAATTTCGTAATGAAATAAATATATTTATAACATAACGAAAATAAAAGTCTAAGTAAAGTTTTAGTATAAAAATGTATTATCTTGGCAACTTATCAATAAGAAAATATAGATCTTTACAGATTTTTTACTAGGCACAACCAGATATAAATCTAGAACTAAAGTACAAAAAAATCCCTTAAGGAATACAAACTTAGTTTTATTTGAGAAGACAATTTACAATGAATTACAATTTAAAATGCGACCAGGACATTAAAAAACGATATCGCCTAGACTGGGTTTTCTGCTTGATGAAAATCATACACACAATCTTCTCTCAAAACCAAGAAGTTTAAAAAAAACAACAGACAAATATTTTCTTGTCTATACATATTTAGATAAACTGTTTCGTTTAATTAACCGCCAAGAATGCTTGATTGCTGGAATATTTTTAAATGCACACAAAAATTGTTTAATTCTATATACATGTTGTGGCAATACATGGTGGAAACGTTTTCCTTTAGTCAAGTCAAAAACAAGTTTACTGGTTTTGCGTCATTTTCATATGGACGAACGGATTAAAATGTACAGAAACTATTCTCATGTTAAACAAATAGTCACAATTGGAAATAAAATATGAATACAATCATGAAACTTAACGATTCCACGTTGATTATTTTTGGACTACTTACTTACCAATTTGAAAAGTTCGGTCAGTTGTTCGCTTTTAGGGAACATCCTTGCAGCGATAAGTCAAACCTTAGTTTAGATTGTACTGAATATTGTTAATATTAAATCAAACACACCAGAACACAAATTGAACAAACACAAACCATTTACCATATAAACTTAAGACTCTTAGACAGTTTAATGTTAATGTATTAAATACTGTTTAGCTCAGGTTTAGTTAGTAATTTGGTAAAAATTCAACGGAAAAGTCTGCAACGGTTTTAACGATTACCTCGTTTATTCATCGACTTGATGGCTAGCCGGGGAGAGTTTGCTCCAGTAATCCGCAACCAAGATGGTTTCGGAGAGGAGAACGCTGGCTCAGGAGATTGTGGCTCTATGGTTTCATTTTTGTTATGCGGACTTGGCCACCTGAAGAATTAGTTTTAAGATTCTATGAGTCAGATTTATTCTTTTTATATATATTATTATTAACACCGTATCCCAAAAAAGTTAATATTTATTCCGAGTTCAAAAAGATTTTAAACTACCTGTGGAAGTCGCCGGAAAAGAAAAATTCAAAGGATTAAACCAGGTTCTTTTTTATCAGACTATGAAGGCTTTTACGGCCGGTGAGGTTCTTTTTTGTTCGTAATCATCTTCTAATCAATATATTCTGATAAAATTGCCAAAAAGCTTTCTTTTTTTCTATTTTCACGATAAAGTAAGAATTTCCATTATTTCTCGAATGAAAAATTTTATTTTAATCAGAGTTTTCTTCACTTTCTTCAGCACTTTTTGTACAAGATTTATCTTAGAAAATAACGTGTCTGGCTGATTGAAGTTGAATAATTTTAAATAAATAGTGAGCTACGCAGAAAAAAACTAAAAATTAACTTACGCCTCTCGTTCGGATTCCCTGTATAGACTTATAGAGTGGCGCCATTCGTATACAGTTGGATGCTTCATTCTATCAACCTCGCAGTTTGCATATCTCAGAGCTTCAAACACCATATAGTCGGTTTTCGTTGGAAAACTCCTAAATGACAATGCCAGAAGTTAAGCTGGTTTAAGCAATAAAAACATTGTTTACCCTTCTAGAAACATTTCCATCTGTGGTAACTCCGCATCGGTAAATTGCTCTTCAGAGTCCGATGTCTCGGAGCTTCTAATCTTGCTTGGAGACATGGGCGGTGTGTAAAATTCGTCATCGGAATCCGACTTGGAGCTTTCGTCACTATTAATATTTAAACCCAAATCTCCATTGGCCCCAACCAAATTACCGTCAGTTTCAAATTCCTCCCCAAAGCACAGTTTTTTTGAGACGCTCTGCAACTCTAGTTTTCGGAGTTTCCTAAAAAGCGCATTTTAAGACAGGGAAATCTTTACACATGTAACAAAACTCACTGGCTACCATTTCGTGATAGAATATTTCGCTTGGGTTTTCGCGTATGAAACACGCAGTTGCACATTTCAAATGGCTTCCATGTAGTCATCGTAAGCAAATCATCCTGCCCCTCGATTAGAGCAGGAGAAAATTCTAGTATACTTTTTATCCTTGTTAGCACACAAATCACCTAGAGGAAAGTGAAATACCAGACGTTTTACTTGAAAACTTGGCTGAGAAACGCGATTACTTACCTGGTGTCTATACATCGTAGGCTTAGGAGAAATGTTCTTAGAAATTGTACTTTCATCGTCAGAGGAGAAATAATCAGATCTTTTCCCAAGACTGTCTAAAACGATTTCCAGTTTCGTGATCACCAACAGTTTACAGTCGTTATAGTTTTTCAAGACTTTACAGGCAATTAGATGCGCCAATCTACAATTATCAGGACGTATTAGTTCGAACTATTATCTTCGAACATATTCACATACATACAATGTTTTTGCACATACCTTGAATGCATTTTTTGGAAATTAACCGAAAACGCGAATCGGTCGTCAGTCATATAACTATTAATCAATAGCTCCAGAAGTTTTATATCAGTTTCTAGGCGTTTTAGGGTATTTGCGTACTCTCTTTCGCTGCACCTCAAAATAGTCAAAACACTAGTCACAATTCGATTGGCGAATACCTGCAACAAGTCGATGTTTGCCATTTGCTGCATATATTGCGATTTGAAAACTTATATATCCGCCATCATTATTTAGGAGAAACAAAACATAATGCATACCTGGCAAGCTTTGTCTACATAAATTAATGGACGGCAGTCAACAGGTCTTTCCAGCTCGCAAAAATCGGAATTCGAATCGTCAATTTTACAAGCTGAAAACGCTTCACATAGATTGGTTATAGGGCTTACCGCACTGTCAGCTTGACTAAGGATTGGGGACAGTTCTTCAACTTGGAGGGTTTGTTCTTTGCTTTTTAGGTACGTCTCCAGTCGATCGAGGCCCTCCTCTGAAGAGATGTCAACAAAACAGTCTAGAAACCCCCAGTATTCCTTCCAACTAACATTGAAGTCGTCTGCCAAATTTTTTCCAACCCTTTCCAATCCCTTTTGAGGATCTTTTAATCTCAGATTGTTTAAATTATGGGCAACTGACTTTCTTCCACTATTTGGAGAGTTAAAATTTAATGATCGAGGTGGAGTTCGCCATTTCTTGCGAAATACATTGGCTTCATTTAGATCCATTGGGCCTGCATAGGCATGTATTTCCAAACGAGGGCTTAAGGGATCATTGTTGAAAATCTGTTTAAGGAGAAAGGCGTTAGTCAATTAAATTAAGTACTGTAAAGTAAGCAAGTGCAGATATAGAGATTAGCTTTAGGTCTTTACAGGATTGCAAGTGCAACTTACTGTTGGTGTAGTTGGCGAAAAAGGTTCGCCTATCAAAGGTGGATACGTGTTGTCCTCTGTTCTTAAAATTGGCACATAATAGTTATCACTTAATAACTCTTGAATTTTCTTCTTCACTGATACGGGGGTCTTAGCATCAGCTCTTTCGCAAATTACCTAAAATACACTTCATTATCACTTGCCCCACATACACTATATTCAAGAAGCAATTCCATACATCCTGAGCTAATTTATTGTGCCTGTTCTTCTTGAATTTATCACATTCAGGATACGACAGCAACACTTCTACCACCGTGTCAGCACCCCATTTGGAAGCAATATGTAATGGCGTGTCATTGAAGCCCTTATTGGGGGTGTTTAAATAAAGATCTAGTAGCATTTTGCACCTGGAATCGGCATTATCTTGATTTTCATCTCCATATAGTCTCTTAATGAATTCGGAGTTGTTGATGGTACTAAGAATGTACTCTGTGATTTCAGCATTCTTCGCCTTTGCTGACACATGCAAAGCATTCAACCGAGCCCCCTCCTAAACGTGAATAAACCAATAAGACATTCAAAGCGTTCGTTAGCGCAATTTTACAATTTTACCTGTAAAATCGAAGGAGTGTCTCCACTACTAACCAAATAGCGTGGGTTATAATCTATCATAGTTCGCACAGTATATGAATGTCCCTTTTCAATATTTGCTCGAAAATCCGTCAGTTCTTGAGGCCTAGGCGTTCGGAATGGACTGGACTTTTCACCAACTGGAGATGCAACGTCTTTTTTTTCCGAATCGCACTTATCAGCAAGAGAGTTGCTCGTTGGTCCCTCATAGCCGTTTGTTGAAAAATCCACAGCTTCATGGTAGAATTGAAACGATTTAAATCTGGACCTTTTATGCTTTTTGGCCAACTTCAGTGCCGATTCCTTATCTTCAAACACATTGGTAGATCCATCGTTCTGCTCATTGGGAATGTAAACTCCGAAGTAAATAGTGGGCAATTTTGAATTGCTTTCGGAAATAGAAGTATTATTTGCATCCGCTTCGCCTGCTGAATCCATGGAGGGTGCTCAGAGGGTACTATTATTGCAAAATCTTACGGTTTGCCACCCTAAAATCGTTGTTTTTGGGAAACGGTTGGTCAACCATCAAGCGTAATGCGCGTAGCTTACCAAGAGTTGCATGCAATAAACGCGATAACGCCCAGCGAACACTGTGCTAAAGGTTTTACTAATTTATTTGATCAAAACCAGCTAGATATTTACAAGTTTCCACGTTAACTGTACAAACTTTTAATTTTGACTCTGTCAACAACACTTGAATGGTTAGGTTGCCATGAGTGCGAATAAACAATTTGTTTGAAATCCGACAGCTCTGAGCAGTGCCCTTAAACAAGGACGGGAGTGCGAGATGGAACAGGATGGCTAGACTATTTAAAAGGTAACGGTTTTTTGTCTAATTTTTTTGGAATTTTTCAAATCAATCCGCTCAATGAAACAACAGTATGACGAATATTAGTGTATTAAAAACAAAATGCAGAAAATTAACAAAACATTTTCCCTAATCAATGGCGAAAGGAAAATAACATTTATGGCTATGAAATACAAAAAATTCCATCACCGTACATACATAAAGAAAAACATGACAATAAAACTATAGCATCAAACAGTATAATTCAGTAAATTATAATGTTCGGTTGAGTAAAGGAAAACGAATTTTCCGAGGAGCATTAAAATGTTAAAACTAAAACATCGTGTGAAAAGTATTGAATATCAAACACAGCTAATAAGCAATGAAAATGCCACAAATCAAAATTACACTTGGACCTTCGGGCTAAAAACACTTCGGGATATAGCGCTCAGAGGCTATGCTACAGTTTTTTTTTTAGTTTTAACGTTTTAAAGCTTGTGGACGAGTCATGCCTCGATAATCTGGATGGCTTCTTGACGTTCCTCCTCCAGTTCTTTTCCAGTTGCGTCCAACAATTTCCTGGCAAAGTCCGTGATTCCCAATTCCTGAACAATTTTCCATTTGCCGCACTTAATTGTAACGGGGAACGAGAAAATTACGTCTTTAGGCGCGCAGTAACTGCCATCGCTTATCACCCCCATAGACACAAATCGCCCTGAAAAAAAACCGTCAATGAGTAGAGTAAATATTTATGGCCATGAACAACGAACCATCTTCAGTGCCTAAGAACCAATCCCTCATATGGTCAGATGCGGCTTTAGCAGCAGACATTGCTGACGACATTTTCCTCGCATTGATCACAGCTGCTCCTCGTTTTTGAACAGTTTCCACAAACACGGAATTCAACCACGCAGCGTCTGAAATGTAAAAAATACTTTTATACAAGTTATCTTCCAAAAACAAATAGTTTACCTTTAATTGCTTCAACTACAGCCGTGTTTGCGCCGTTGATATTGACCAAAGCATGAGAAGCATCAGGGAACTGAGTGGAGGAATGATTTCCCCAGATGATGAGATTGCTGACTTGACGCACCGGCACTCCTAATTTGGCCGCAATTTGCGCTTGTGCCCTGAAGTGAAGATTCAAGATATTTCGTTAAAGCCATTGCTGCAATATTAAAAGTACCTGTTTTGGTCCAAACGCGTCATCGCAGTGAAGTTCTCCTTGGGGATTGATGGGGCATAACGTGAGCAAATCAGTGCGTTAGTATTGGCTGGATTTCCAACCACCAACACTTTAACATCTTTCTTCGCGTATTTGTCCAACGCTTCCCCTTGTACTTTGAAGATTTTCACATTGGCGCTCAACAGATCTTTGCGTTCCATACCTTCAAAGCATAATAACCATAATTAGTGAAGCCCGGAGATATTTTTCATAATATCATTGACAAACCTTGCTTGCGAGGCATGGCTCCGACCAAAAAGGCGGCGGTAACGTCCTTAAATGCGACTGCTGGATCATCAGTGGGTACCACCCCGTGCAATAAGGGTAGAGCGCAATCGGCCAGTTCCATCACCACGCCTTCTAACACTCCCATCATGGGTGGAATGTCGAGTAAATGGAGAATGATGGGCTGATTGGGGCCGAAGACATCGCCCTTGGCCACAATGTAGAGAAGAGAGTAGGCGATCTGACCAGCAGCTCCAGTTACTACTACTCTTAGTGGTTCAGCCTGAAACAAAATGCATTTTACAGCCTGTGATCACCTGCTCAATAGCTTGCGATCTCCCGGTATTGATATAATTGACTTGTGGAATCTTAAAAAAATATTGGATGTTGCCATTTCCTAGTGCTGGAAAGTTTATTGTGTTATTTAAGTTTCGTTAGAACGAGGAATTTTGAGTCCAAAGGCGTGAGTTGGTTGGGCTGCCGCCTTTGGACCCAAATGTTCTCTAGGTTCAAAATCGAAAAAAAAAACAAAATTTCTAATTTTTTTATGAATTTAACGACGCCCAAGCAATAGAGCTTAAAAATATAAAAAAGCGGGTGAAGAAGAAACAAACCGCCGATAGGTTTCGAGAAAAATCATGAGTGAAAAGAAACGTACTAAAGTGCTGCTTCATCTTCTGGAAGTATGTGAAGCTTTGAACTCTAATGATCACTTGGCTGATTACCGCAGTACTTAAATTTATATGAATGCGAGAAAATTCATTTGGCACCAGATTTGTATGACGAATGAAAGTGTTGAATGCAAGTATTTTGCAGATTCGAACAAAGATAAAATTATTTTTTGGAACGTCGAGTGAATTGCACTTCGCTAAAACTGAACAAATACACAGTGGCGAGTGGAATTCAAAGATGTCTTCATATATACTAAAGCGATTAATTCGTCTGATTAATTACCAATAAATAATAAACTTCTTACTGGTTTATTGAACATTCGTAATATTTAATATTCACTGTCCAAACTCAAAGAGCGAACATATTTATGAGCTGAACCCGTGGATTAATAAACAATTATTTCTCATAATAAGTTATTAATATTGAGCATTAATGGTATTTATCAAACTGAACTGTATTTTTTATATAAACGAGAATTTGATAAGAATGTGGGTCAAAATGGGTCAAACTCAAACAGATACAGATTACAGAAACACGTGTACGTAACGGAAGAAATGCATTCATTGTAAGCGTTATGAAAAAAAATCAGTAAATTCTATTAGTACTGATTATTCGCAGATTGATGTTAATCGCAATTACATCACACCACTACGAAAGGTGGAAAATATTTTTCAAAACTTTTACTGGAGCGTAAACAAGATAAAAATAAAGTGAATAGGACTTGATCTATAAATATATGATTGGGTGTTTTTTTGAAAACAGATTATGTTTACCTAGATTAACGGCTTAGGACAACCGACAAATCGATAGTTAAAGTAAAGAATAAATATTCAACGGCCGGTGTAAAAATCTATTGCTGCAAAATTGCATAAGACCTATTGAGAACTGCTTTATCAGTTCATATCACGAGTGTTTAATAACGCATTCTAAATATACCTGTAGCTTCGAGGATTTCGCTTTCAGTAGTTTCCATAAAATGCGAATTGAATTATTTTAAAAGTAACAAAACTTGCGCGGTTTGTACTTCTTTGTGTCAAGATGCAAGAGGAACCAAAATAATTATTTCATATGACGGTATTCAAACAAAATATCTGCAGTTTGGGCTAAGGTAAGACTTCGAATGAAACGTATGGACAGGGCGTCCTTCAATAAGTGGGCAAACTCTCGGATGGGATAGACCAGAAGAAAAATAGCATTAGAAGTTCCTATACATTTTTTCTATGTCAATAGAGATGGGGATACAGACCCTCAACGATTGAGCTTAAAAATATATTTTTGTAGTTTTTCGTATCGAAATATTTTTTTCATATGCATATTTTTCATTGCATTCATTCACACATTCATTAAAAGTGTATTAGCGTTATTTACTTTGCCACGTGCGAATTAGTTCTAGCGCAATAAGGCTAATTTTTAGTATGTGTCAAGAGGCACAGTTCTAAATAGATGAAATATTTAACCAAAAACTGGTAGTCCTTGGCCTCTTTATCGATATAAAAGAACCGTTTTTGAGAAAAAGTTATATTTATTCCAGGTGGTCCTAATATTATGCCAAACAAACATTGTTGCATTCTTCACAAAACGTGAGCATTGAATTATATAAGAAAAGTATTTCATTCTACCAATTATTTTTCTTTACAGATTTTAAAGGTCCTTCTTTCTAACAAAGAAATAAGAGGAACTTATTTTCATACTATTTTTTGTGCTATACAAACAGGGTGAATATATTGTGTGTCAAATAAACGTGATAGTGTCTCACATTAATATTCGTGAGACTATCTTAGACCTCACTTTCTCAAGTTGCCGTTAAATTCCTTAGGTACAAAATATGGAGTTACTTAAGTGATTCAAAATGCTACAACTAGAAAAGTTAAGTACATATTATGTAGCATGTTTTACAGAATTCAGTCAGATTACAAAAATTATCACTTCGACAATGGGCTTTCTATGTAAAATAATAACCACAGACCGATGAATATTCTCTATTAATTAGTTTGTTGCAACAGACGTGGCAGAAGCAATTGAATAATTATGCAGTCTTTATGCTCCGCAGCAAGAATAGTGGCTGATTTATAAGTACTTTATGCGATTTGTAGAGCCGGCACCGCCTTCCATAAACATTAAAACCGACAAAAACATATTATATAACGCAGATTTAACAGGAACTAAATGTTCACAAATCTGTTTTTGAAATCAATAACAAACATTTCCACTTACCATTGTCTATGAATTTGTTGAAAAAACCGCGAACACTGGGGAGTTATATTCAATCAAATGGTTAATTGTTAAATGACGAATAAGTGAATAGGACGTCCTTTGCCTCAAAGTTTGAACTTGAGGATTGTTTTTTTTATCATTAAACGTCATGTAACGTCACCATTCGCAAAACCTTGTCATCGTATACTTATGAATACTTTGGCAGAAACAGTAAATCTATTCCACCTGTTAGAGTGAGATACTGAGATAATCTAGAGATTGCTATTGTTTATCCTTTTCCATCTCTCAGGGTTCATGTTCTAACGAAAGCAAACTTCACATCTATCAGCAGGTCGCCAGCTATTCAAGACTATCTTCAGACAGTTCGCCATAGTTCTTTCCCGTGTGTCACCGCTTACAGCAAGACAGGTAAGAGTTTCTGATTAATTTTCATGTTTTTTTGTGGAAATTAAACATATTTTACTCCATTTTACACATCCGTAAGTTATCCCGGAAATGTTTAATGTATTAGCATAAGTTTCACCTCCCTGCAATCTATAAAAGAAGGTATAATGTATGGTTGGAAAAGCAACGTGCTTAACGCCATTTCACCTAAAAATTTTGTTATAGAAAATGCCGTCTGTAACTCTCAAAGACGTGGATCAGCACAAGTTCGTCAAGGCGTTTGGCCAATTCTTGAAAAAGTGAGTAGTAAAAAAACATACAGTTTTAAACTATTTCCCCCACAAATCCGGTGTATCATTTTCGAGGTTATATTCCCATACCTAATTCATATTCATCCAAGAAAACTAGAATTTCTATAGAAGATGGACGAAAGCTGATGTCAAGCTGAAAGTTTTTTCGTCAAATTACTGACGAAAAACATGTGTAATTTTTTTTTGTTTAACAGTTCTTAACGAGCATCTGTATTTGATCTTTACTAGAAATTATATTTTTCAAAAGAACTAGCTGGACACTACACATTGGACGCTGGACATTACCGCATGATCGTGTTTGGGAGCTCAGCGATTCAAAATTGTTTGTAACTCGTAGAAGGCTGCAGTAGATACTTTCAATGCATTTGCGCCATAAAGCTTTGGTGTAAAATATCAAATTTCTCATGCTCGGGTTTTATTCCCTGTCGTATACAAACAAAAAATTCTTGGTGAAAATCCGAATCTTGAAGTACCTATTTTCGAGTTGTCCACTTCGAAACTTTCAATTGTGCAACGTGGGTGTACTCTCAAAACAAGTAAGAGTTAGAAGAGCGCACCTAAATGCCTAGCATGATATGTGCTATTCGTCAAAATATGTAGTTTTAGCTAAACGGTGCACGTGCCACATTACAATTCCTCAATTGTAATGTGGCATAGCATAAGCTTGGCCCTCGCCAAGCCCCGACATCAGTTTTTGTCTGTAAAAAAATTGTCCCATTTGGCTCACCTTGATCTCATTGTCTTGATCAGGACCGGTAAACTACGTGTACCGGAATGGGTCGACTTGGTAAAAACATCCAGAGCTAAGGAGTTGGCTCCATATGATCCCGACTGGTATTACGTTAGATGTGCTGCTGTTATCAGGCACATTTACCATCGGTCCCCCGTTGGCGTAGGATCAATCACGAAAATCTTCGGTACTCGTAAACGTAACGGTACCAAGCCTTCCCATTTCTGCCGGTCCGCTGGAAGCATTGGACGCAAATCCTTGCAGAGTCTAGAAGGTAAGAATATTCGGAATTATGGTTATTGTGGAATGTAGAGTATGATCTCTTCTGCAAAAAACGCTACATTGAGGATGAAAGAAAATTTCCTTCAGATGCTTGTTTTTTTCAGCCCTTAAACTGATTGAGAAATCAGGAGATGGAGGCCGCAAATTGACCCAACAAGGCAGACGTGATGTGGACCGCATCGCGGCCCAAGTTAAAGCAAAAGACAGGAAAGTCCTGTCAGCTAGTGCTGTCTTAACTTTGTAGGTGTTTAAAAAAATACAATAATGAATTAAAGTTCGGCCATCTTTCTTCCTTTTCCAACACTTGAGCAATTACAGTGCTTTTACGTTATAGCTCTTTATTCAGTGCAAACACCACCATTTTACATATTTGATTGATATCTTTTGGTATGTTGGACACCTGCGGCGCTTACATTAAGTGCATAATGAAATGGTATTTATCAGATTGATCTTTTTCAATATTTCCACAATGTGCTTATTGTACCTGCATACCATTATTTCACATTTAATTTACTAACAATGTACTTACTAAACTAGCTAAATAACTATGTTTGTGCACCAAACTAAACAATAGAAATCACAGTCAAAAATTAAAATCAAACAACGAATAATCCCGCTAACAAAAAAATCTTGAAAAAGCGAAACATGGGATTTTACAACCGAGATAATTTTAGCATATTTCCTTAACACAGCAAGTTATTGGCACATGATTGTACTAAGTAGACCAATGGATGTAGGAAGTGTATTTTGCATCTGCCCATATCTACGAATAATCGAGAAATTCGTCTTTAAGAGAACAATTTCTATTTTTAACAAGACTTAACTGAACAGCAATTTTGGCCAAATGGGCTAAAGTTAAAAATGGTCATTAGTATGCCTTAGTCTATGATTACATCGTCTAATATCACCATCCTCTCCGTTTTATTTTTTTGCATAATCTGCAAAATCTGTCTCGTCTCAGCCCCCAATTTCGAAAAAATCACCAAGTTGATTGGTCCTCATTTTCCCCGCATTTAGTTCAAACCCATACTCGATAACCCACAACTCACTTCAGAGAATGGTGTGTAATTCATTCCAATTAGCTTAGTCTTTATAAGATTAACGATAAAGTTTCGAGAGGTTTTTAACAGTAAATAGAAACTATTTCTTTCTAGTTGACATATGCGGTAATAGTAATCCGAAGTATCATACATCGATAAAAGACAATAAATAGAAATTAAAGATTCTATCTATCACAATACATAATCAGTCTGGAGAGGTCAGTTGTAACTTATATAGGGCGCGTAAAAGCTAGCAAGGCATTTTTAAAGATTGGAAATTTTTAAATATTGCTTTTGAAGCCGCTAGAACATTTTCCTTGATAGTTATTGGCAACCAATCATATAAATTCCGAAACTTCCTTAAGTCGTTCGTAATAAATCAAGTGTGGAAAACGCGGTTATCCAATTCAGGCGAGCCTGTGATATACATTGTAGACTTAAATTCTAGACAACAGACTGCACTTGTCGCTACTAAAGTATAAATGCGCTTCTACAGATTTGTCTTTGATGGGTTGATATTATCATTGCAAGCTTCAGATCCAGTTTGTCTCAACCAGTGTCTTAAATTCCGAGTTCTCTCAATTAAAGTTGTGGTTGCCCCCTGTAAAGCGATCGGTTTTCTTGATCGGACAACAAGGAATAATTTGCTCATACCTGAGAAGCATGGGTAACTACAGTGCTCTGAGCGTTCGCCAGAGCGACCTGTTGTCTATAATTATGCAATCTATCGGCAAGTGTGGGGATTGATGGGGGAGCAGGTACGCTTGCGGCCCCAGCAAGCACAGGCCACCCTAGATCAGGGTACACTAGTGGTGGCATCACTAGTTTTCAACAGATAAAATCAATAAGCTGTCTTAGCAAAAAGAGAAAAACTCAAGCAAAGTCCGCAAACTCTCAATGATCTTGTTGGAAAAACTGACAATATATGTATAACAATCCTACCTTGAGCAATACTTGACTGTTGGTGTTGCGTCCGCAACACGCCCCATATTTCGCGAATTTCCAAGTTGAGATTTTCCAGGCTCTGTATAATTTCAGACGGTTCCTGAAAATCCGCCTTGGAAATCGCTTTGTAATAACCGCCTCCTTCGGCAACTACAAATTCAGTTGAGCTGATGCCGGAACTTGCACTGGAATTAAAAACTGCCTATTTTGGAATACTTTATCAGTTTCAAGGGTAACTTATAATAATTTCGGTCTTCTATTGCCACTCGAGAGATCCATGGCTCACCTGTGAGACGACAAATCACTCAAGGTGGCATCATCCAATTTGCTTTGGTCGTTTTGGGCGTTTGCCCGATGAAGAGATTGCTCTAAGTGGCGCAGTCTTATTACCTTCTCCCCTAGCAGGCTCCTGGTGCGATGCAAATTGACTTCCATGTCTGTGAGCTCTTTTTCCTCCTAACAGTTTGCCGATTAATTTAAAAAACTCTTGAGACCATTGAGCTTACTTGGCATAGTTGCTGCAAAGTATGTCGCGCCATCGATCCATGCTTGAGCTTGAGCTCTTTCTGTCGCTGCTGAAACAACGCCTTCTGACTCCTCAGGCTTTCTTTGGCTCTTTTAATCGAATCCCGCTCCAGGTGAATTCTGTGGCGAAAAAACTCCAACTCTGAGCTTCCTTCGAATGGCTGCCCATCCGAAAATGGGTATCTGTAAAAACTGATTTTGCTTTTAAATCGTTTCATGAATGGCATCAGTTTCTGGTCTACCTCAAATGATAGGTATCACATTGGGAGTTCTGCGGGAACTGATCTTCTAAGTCTTCAAGTTTCTGCAGTTGCTTTCTGAGATTCTCAACCGGTGAACAAGATCGTTGCTGATTTTTTCTGGATTTAGAATTCAAATTGATCCGTGAGGTTGAAGAGCTTTTAAGCCTAGAGATTGAGTGTATGTATGTATCTGGACAAGTCTTTTTATTTAGATTATTCCCTATATTATTATCGTTACTGATCTGGGGATTTCCAATTATCAACAATATTCAAAAGTACATTGCAAGGTACACCAGGATGAGCGAAAATATGGAGTTTTTTTGATAAATTTGGTTCATTGAAAAAGGTCAATATATTCAAGATATCAAAAGAAAACTATATTTTTTGAAAGTTGAATCATTAATTTGAGCTCTGAAAACGTCCGCTGTTGAAAAAAATTCGAGTTTTGTTTTAACGCCGACAGAAATCCTTTACCGACCTAATAAAACATTTTTTATGTTTCTATTTACCCCGATGTACCTTACACGAAAGTGTCCTCACCTCGAAAACAGTTTTTTTCTGCTTCTCCCTGGATTGATGCTGTCCGAAGAATCATTTGGGTTTCCTTTATCATCACTTTGATAACAATTATCACTCACTGATGTATCCAAATCTTGAATAATCACTTTAGTCACTTTGGTGTCGAGTTTGCCGGACTGTCCCGGTGTTGGTGGTTTCTCCAGGAGTTTTCTCGAAGGGGAATTTAAAGGAGTCCTTGTAAAAAATTTAAAAAATAATTACGGATACCGAAACGAATATAGCTCGTATTACCGATCTTTGTTGTTGGAATGGCTCTGTTCAGTTTCAGAACCGGTAGTGTTGGTGGCGGTTGTATTAGTACTATTCTGTTCTTTGCGACGGCTTCGCTTCTCTAATGAAAGTTTAACTTCGGTTTTCAATCTGCAACATTCGCGAATATATTGGCTGCAGGGAACAATAAACATCACAGCTACCGCAAGTATTTTTCCTTTAAACAGCGATACTTGTCTTCAAGCAGCCGCTTTTCGCATCGCATTTTCTCAAATTGACGATCGTCGTATGTGTGCTTAGACTTAACAGCCTCAGCTTCACTCTGAAGCTTGCGCTTCAGCTCCAACATTTCTACTTGATGTTCTTGCTTCATAATTTGTTCCTGCAACGCACAAGGTGATACCAACCAATGATTTTCTTATTAACGAATAACTCCATACTTCAAGAGTAAATTCCCGCTTGATTTCTTCAATGATGATAGAGTGATTTTGTCTAAGTTGCTCTATATCGGCGTTGTGATTGAAGCTCATTTCCTGCTTCTGTTTCTCGACTCTATCAGCAAGTTCTTTTTCGATTTCGGCCAGTTTTTCATCATAATATTTTTCCAGTTCATCTTTCTTTAGCTGCAGTAATAAAATCAAGTCATCAAGACACAAAAGATACATTTTATTTTCTAGATATTAGGTACCTCATATTGATGAGAAATTTTCTCTCGATCGCTCTCCAATTGCTCTTCCATTTTCGCCGATATATCCTTAATCCTGCTATCAAAATTCAGTCTTTCTTCTTTGGTCCTCACTTCAAGCTCAGCTTTACAGTTATCTAATTCAGTCTTTATGGCTTCTTCATGTTTGGATTTTTCATTCTAGATATGAGAGGTCGCAAAATTTGAAGCATGACAAAACCCATAACAAACAACCTACTTCTAAAATCCTATCTAATTCATGCTGATGAGACTCGTCGAGTTTCTGCTTAAAATTGACTAGTTCCTCGTTCTTCTCCTCCCATATCTTCTGCTTGACTTGTGTTACTTTTTGTTCCGCTCTCTTTTCCAACTTAGTCTTTACTTTATCATCCACACTGGAACTGTCGCTATCAAACATATCTTCGATAGTCTTCAGTTCCAGTTTTTCTAAACTTTTCGTGTCTTCATCCGAATCTGAGCCTGGAAGATTAGCGGCTCAGCTAATTGAAAATCATACGCTTCTGTGTACCTACCGGTATTTATAGTTAATTTGGGCCTGACAAAGTCTGGAGGTACTTTAATTAGCCTTAAAGTAGGCGAGGGATTTTCAACAACAGGCGAAACAGAAAATCGATTTTTCGAGAGGGCAGTTTTGATCGCTGCAGTTTCATCTTTGGGTTGTTTGTCGCTTAGAATATCCTCATCACTGGAGCTTTTATCGGAGAAAGTGATTCCCACATCAGTTGTGTTGTTATCAAGGTTGAACCGGACACTTTTCTTGTCATCGTCGTCTTTATCTGAGCGATCATTGAGTGAAACCTATTAACAAAATTAATTCGTTTTCTCTAGGCCTCTTGTTGCAGCTGATTAAAGGATTCAACCTTATCAAAATCCATGCTTTTCGAATGCTCGATGGCTCTTTCCCTTAAAATGCCTCTTGGTAAGTCGAGGCCTTCACTTCTCTGACCGGGACTAGGCAGCAGTTCACTTTTTTTGGTGTTAGACTTGAGAAACATTGCTCCTCCGCCCGTGACCTGAAAGACAAAATAATACGAAAACAATCAAGCTTCAGCATTTTTGCGTGCTTACTTTTAATTCCATTTTCTCCAAAGTCCGCGGATGCTTGTCAAACATCCCCATCTCTTTATTATCTTCGTCAAAGCTGCTGAATTTGTGAAGAAATTTATTAGTTCCGACTAGAATGTCTTCAGAGCGTTGCTTGAGCAGTCGGGATTCATGTCTTGGACTGTGGGCTGGGCTTAGTTTTAAAGGAGATAAGCGGATATCTCTTTTTCTAGGACCTTATAATAAAATATTGTTATTAGTGCACAAATTGCGTCAAGTTAAAATCCTGAGCGTATGTATAAACTGAAGCTATGGATTACCTAATGTTAGGGGTTGTAACTTTGGAAAGTCTGGTGGCAACATTTCTTCATAACTCTTCAGTTCGTCCTCTTTGGCATACGTGGCATCTTCAGTAGGTTCGTTTATGGATAGCGACTGGCTCTCAGCCCTAACTTTTTTCACTAAATTGCGATAAATATCGTCAAGTGGATGTTCCCACTGTGTCTTCTTTGTTATTTGATTGTAGTAGTAGTAGGATTTTGATTTATCGTCGTAACTGTAACGTCGTAGTTGATTAGGACGCTTTTAAAGGTATTAAGATTAATGAAGAGTATTTTTAAGAGTAAATTTTGTTACAAAAAATTCAATTTTGCCGCTATTTTTTAACATCGAAAATATTCTTTAAAAGAGACAAGCAAAAAATTTAAAACGGAAAAATTTAAAACTGTTATCTCAGAAGTAACTAATGGGTGATCAGACGCATCTTTTCCTCCTCACTCCTCAAGCAAAATTACTCATTTCCAAGAACATGCGCCTAATTTCATAAATTATTTAACATGATTACTAAACATCCAAATAACTATAATACTTTTTTGATCAAGCGCCGTGTTTCCTTTTCCATAATCAGGCTCTCATAAATCCCTTATGTAAAATGATCGTCGTTTTGTGCAAGGGTGGCGCAAGATTATTGCAAAATTCCATGTTTTCCGTCCCGTTTTTGCTCATATCTCGGAGGCAAAATGAGCAAGAACGCTCATTTGTACATCATTCTAGACAGAAATTAATGGCCTTTTCAGAAAGAAAACCATGGATGGGGAAATGTTGGCAGTTTTCTTAAAAAATGCTTGAATTCAAGAAGTTTTAGATTTGCGTGATTTTCTTCGAGTTGCAACATCCACTTGAACATGACGCTGCTTTTTTCGAAGTTTTTCAAGAACCATTCGAGAGCCAGAGAATTCGTTTTGGCATCGTTGGATAGAGAATTGAATGGGGGGGGTCATGACCCCCATGACCCCCCCCTGGATCCGCCCTTGGATAGAGCGTCTCGATGTTTTGAGAACTGTTTCCTCCTTTATGATTTATCAGATACCACAAACCTGGCAAGAGATTCAAGAGGGCCGACTGATGAAAAATGTAAACTCCGTAAATTAAATAAATACATCCTTTTGCCCATAGTATCTTCCTCTCTTTCGCGGAGCTCCCTGTTAAATCACAAAACTGCGTCGGTCTATGGCACACAATTTAATGATCGTCTTTCATCCAGACTATTAATTCAACATACTTTTTACTTAAAAGTTGCTTATTATAGTCAATTTAATGCAAATTCTCTGTACAAAGCATTTTACAGATCCGTTTGCTAAAGTTAAACCACAACAGATGATTGATCTGCTCTGACTTCTGACACTTATCGAAAATTAACCTAATTTCTACACCGTGTTCCAGTTAAATGCATTGGAATATTTTCTCGTGTATATCGAAATAACGCCTTAAATAGAATCATGAAATGAATCTATATTATAAAGGAAAATAATCCTCGAGTAAATCGTTCATTTTGTCGTCTTAAATAAGCGAATCGTGCTCTTTAGGCATGCGAGTTTAATTCAAATGAAGCTATTTTTACAACACCGGACCCAGCAGAATTTTAGTGCTCTAAAACGGTGTATAATTAACGTGAAAAACTTCTTAAGTACCCCCGAGAGTACCATGAATGAGGGTGAAGTTAACAAAAAGCCAAAATATGATGGTAGATCGAAGAAACGCCAGTGGCAAGACCGAAGAACTGATAAAGGGGCTGGCTTGGACCCTCTACTGCAACCGAAGCTCCTTCGACTGGACCAATCGACCCAAATTGCCAATATTGACAAGGTAAAAAGGCGTAAATTTGCTATTCTTATGGGTTACTCCGGCGTAGGCTATTATGGCATGCAAAGGAACCGGGACACAAAAACCATAGAAGAAGACTTATTTAAAGCCTTGCTTGATGCTGATTTTATCAACGAGGAATGTTACAACCAGGTCCAAAATATGCAATTTCAAAGGGCCGCACGTACAGATAAGGGAGTAAGTGCAGCCAGGCAAGTTGTCTCTTTGAAATTAAAAGAAGATTTTGAGATTTCCAAAATCAACGAAAGGCTAAGTGATCAAATCAGACTGTTTGCATTTAAAAGGGTGACCAGAGGATTCAACTCTAAGTCCCAATGCGATGCCCGAACATATATTTATGTCCTACCAACTGTTGCATTTGCTGATCGAGACGAAACAATCACCCAGAAAGAGTTTAGAATATCAGAAGACAAACTGAAACTGATTAATGAACTTATGCAGTTTTACTTGGGCACGAAAAGCTTCCATAACTTCACCACAAAAAAAAAATATGGTGATCCTAGTGCGAAGCGATTTATTCGGACCTTTGCTTGTGGGGCGCCTTTTTTGAAAGACGGAGTTGAGTTTTGTCTTATTAAAGTGTTTGGGCAGAGCTTCATGATGCATCAGATCAGAAAAATGATTGGATTGGTGTTGGCTGTGGTCAAAGGCATGACTACTCAAGACACATTGGTCAAAGCGTTTACATCAGAGAAAGTTAATATTCCCAGAGCTCCAGGTATTACCTATTCATTTTTATTGTAGCGCAGTTAGGTACAGTGTGAATTTTAGGGTTGGGCTTATTCCTGGACTATGTGCATTATGAAAGATATAACAACAGATATGGAGATGATGGCATGCACGAGAAATTAACTTGGGAAGAAGTCGAAAAAGATGTACAGGATTTCAAGGAAAAACAGATTCTTCCCACTATAATCAACACCGAAATAAACGAAGAATCGATGGTGAGGTCTTTAATTGATATTGGGTTAGTTATAGCTTTTTTCTCTTAAGGTGTTGTGGATGCAAGAGAAATTAGCGCTGCATTCCTGGGACGAGACTGCAGAAAAGGAAGAAAGTGAGGACGAGGGAGGTGGCGACGACGATGCTGAAGAGGACACCGGTTCAAGAAAAAACATCACGGAAGATGTAGAACAAAAACGAATTTTACAGGAAAACGTAATATAGTAGTGTAGTTTTCACACATCCTCCTAATTAGTGTTAGAGTTCTATATGTTGGAAATACACGAAATAAATGGTTAATGACGTTATTAAAGAGTTAGTTACCAAGGCTTCCATCCTGGGGGCAAGGCCTTCATTAGCCCTTCGGTGGCCAGTGGAAGAAGTTGGGGCTCCGAATCAGGATCAATCCCAATTTTGAGGGCATAGTCTTTGATTTCTGCAATAAGGTGTTCAGAGACATTTTCAGTAATTGCTGGCGTTATTCAGGTTTTTCTAATTTTTTTGTTTAGTGAGACAGCGATAAACTCCGGAAGTTAACGCCTCTGTAGTTATTTATCAGCTGAATGACTTATTTATGTTTTGAATTTAAATAAATTGCAGCTTTTTTTCAAGCTGATTTTGCGTGCATTAAGTGAGAAATAGTCATCAAGCGAATGACGCAACATTAATTAGAGAGAAATGAACGAAAGAATCAAGTATTAACACAACAAAAGAAATATATCTGGGGCAAATGGAATGTAAACAAATCGAAACTTACCTTCCACTGAGGGGTGACTGGTTTCATCAAATATTTCTTGGCACACAATCGACATGATTTCACTTTTAGGCCCAGCGTCGCTTAATGTTTAATGCCATTTAACGGTGAGATAGAAATCGCACTTTTTTAGTCACTAGGATTTCACAATTTTTGACAAACATTTCGTGTTTGAGGGATCGAGTTTTAGGGTTAATGTTACTAGCGCCACCTTTTACCCTCCAATATGTTTCCTTTTGTGTTTGTATTGACCACCAGCGTAGGTAAAAGTCAGGAATTATGGCAGTGATAACGATTTTGAGCGCATGATAGATAAAAACAGCTAAATGGACAAAATACAGTGAATGAAGAAAACATATTTCTTTACAATCGTTGCTGAGTTTCAGTAACGAATTTATCTTCATTCGAAACAACTAGAAAAGTAAGTAGGTACAGGCGAGTAGGACCTTTAAGCGGTTTGAAATTTCCCACCTTTAAGTTTTTCAGTGTCCAGGAAATCAGTCTTTTCATTGATTTTGACGAAATTTTGTACTTTTGCAGCCGGATACATTATGTAAATGCTACGAAAATTTCAAGCCAATGTTCGACCCATTTTTTGAGATATTTTTATTTTTATTGGAAGCACCATTACGCGCTTTGGAACTATCCAGCCTTAACTTTGTGAGTGTCCAAAAAATTAGTCCTTAGACTAACTTGGACGAAGTTTTGTGCTTCTGCAGCCGGATACATTATGTACCTAAATGTTGCGTAAATTGCAAGTAATTCAACACAGTTTTTGAGAAATATATTTTTTCATTAATCGATCTATTTCGCGCTTTGGAATGACCCAGTCTTAACTTTGTGACTGTCCAAAAAATTAGTACTTGGATGGATTTCGACAAAATGTTGCACCTTTGCAGTCTGCTAGGTAATGATTATCAAAAACATCAAGCTACAAAAGTTCGTACACGTTTTGAGTTGCACATTTCTCTTCGTGGTTTAACAATATGGGGTTTATATGCTAATATGTTGTGGTTGATTAGTGACCGTGATGATAATCAGTAGTTAATTCTTCGACAGTGGGACTTTCGGTCAACGGATGGTGGCAAAATAAAACACTACTTTTTCATGGGCCAACGTTTCGACTTTATTCAAGTCATCCTCAGGGCTTTAAAATGGAAAACAGAAGAGTTTTAGCCTAGAGCCTGGTGAAGTTTCAACACTTAGTGTGTAACATTGTTATACAATACAAAATTCAAAAATTAAAACTCAACTTAACAACAGATTAAAAATTAAATCACGACCATCAGACTATCCGGTTAAAATACTAAAAAATTACATTAAAATTAACATTGGTTTAAATACAAGTCAATCATGGTCAGTCCCGTCTCAAGAGAGTTTAAAATTACATAAATTAAAACGATCAGGCGGTCAAAACTATAAAACACACTCAAAACAATAATCTCATGTCAATAAGATTTAAATTAATTAAGATTAAAAAGTAGTGAACAAAGGACGAAACTAAGTTGGTCAAAAAAAAAGTCTAAAAACAGCGGGGAAAAAATGAAATGGGATTTTGTTACTAAATGTTGTTGACAAAATCCCATTTCTTGACACGGTGCTCATTAGAGAAAACAATTCACTTATAATCGATTGGTACCATAAACCAACTTTTTCTGAAAGATTTTTAAACTACTATTCCCAACATAAAATTACAATAAAGATTAACATAATTAGAAATTTGAAAAATAGAGCTATTGCACTCTCAAGTCCTCAATTCCATCACAAGAATGTTGCCTTGATTAGGGATTACTTGTTAAACAACAATTACCCTCATTCTTTAATTAACAAAACCTTGAATTATAAGTCAACAGACAGGGAGGTAACAAGTAACACATACATTTATCATAAAATACCCTATGTGGAAGGTTTGTCACAACAAATAGCAAAAGTTGTATCTTCGGATAATATCAAAATAGCCTTCTCCAGTTCGAACACTGTTGGAATATTATTTTACACTAAGACTAAGTCTAAAACACCCACTGAATTAAATTCGAATATAATATATCGAATACCTTGCTCAGACTGTGATCAATGCTATATTGGTCAGACAGGCAGATATTTAAAACAGCGAATATCAGAACACAAAAGAGACTCAGCTAAGACTAAACCAAAATATAACCAACCCCACAGCATTGGTAGAATGCTGGCTTTGGTGCCATCACCAGCCATAACTTCGATTTTCGGAACATCAAAATTCTCGACCATCAGCCAAAGCTAATGAAACGACTAATTAGTGAATCAATTTTCATAAAAACTCAATTTTAGAAGAGACACAGAGAATCTGAGTGAAGCCTATAATAGCCTTATACAAAAGAATAATATAAAAAACTAAAATTAATTTCATATTAATGGCTGATGGCTGAAAATATTATTAATACTAATGGCTGAAAAATTAAGTTTTTACAAATGCAAACGAAAGACTTGAATTTTTTTTTCCAACTTAATTTCGTCCTTTGTTCACTAGTTTTTAATCTTATTTAATTTAAATCTAAATATTGACATGATATTATTGTTTTGAGTGTGTTATAGTTTTGACCGCTTGATCGTTTTAATTTATGTAATTTTAAACTCTCTTGAGACGGGACTGACCATGATTGACTTAAACCAATGTTAACTGGATAGTCTGATGGTTGTGATTTAATTTTTAATCTGTTATTAAGTTGAGTTTTAATTTTTGAATTTTGTATTGTATAACAATGTCACACACTAAGTGTTGAAACTTCACCAGGCTCTAGGCTAAAACCCCTCTGTTTTCGATTTTAGAGCCCTGAAGATGACTTGAATAAAGTCGAAACCTTGGCCCATAAAAAAGTAGTGTTTTATTTTGCCACCATCCGTTGACCGGAAATCCCACTATCGAAGAATTAATTACTGTTTATATGCACTTTTTGAAAATTTGATTTTTGCCTTTTCGCAAAAATTTAAATGAAATACTGTTGAAAAGGACATAAAAGAGTAACGTTCGATATACGTGGACGCCTAATAAAAAGGCCACATATTTACATAATTATATATTTTATTCGAAACTACATGTTACAATAAATAACAAAGAGGTAATCCGAATAAAATTTATTTGGTTCTATCTGGTTCATAAACTGTAAACTTTTATACTAAGGCACATTAAATTGAGCAACTGCAACTCCCATCTATCGTATTAGGTATAGTAAAGAATGTCATTAAAATTGTCTCACATTTAACAAATCACGATTGTATAAGTATAGAAATTAGACAAATGCTTACTGAGTAAAGAAACATTGACTATTTTACATACAACAGAAACATTAAATGGATGAACTTAAGCTGTAAAATGGTTTGATTGGGCACTGATTGCTTAACTTACTTTCACAGCTTTCTCGAAACTCTCAAGAGTTTTGAGCCTTTTCGCAATGAACTGGCCCAGCTGTTGCGAATGATTCTTTTCCGTTGATAAAATCAATCGTTTTCTCAGTCGTGGATGAATGTTGGCTTTGCGTTGTTTGGGAGGTTCAGGAGTTCTGCTTCTTGTAGGCCCCAATAATTTGGTTCTGATACAAAAAATACTAATCAGAACCCAGTTTATGGCTTTTCGCTCGTTTAAATTTAGACCAAATATTACGCTCGAGAAACGTTTTTTACATTTCTTTAAATCCAGATTAGTCTCCTTATACAAGCTGCCTTTAGTTGATTTCTTAGATAAACCATTTTCGAGAAAACCTATCTTTAAAACATGTTAATTGCCATTAGTATTCTAATACTTAAAGGTGCACTCAGCTCAGCTGATGAAATTTCGACCGTGCATCCACATTATTTGAAGCCATTATCGATTAATTAATTAAAATTACAATAAAAAACTCTGTATATCAACAACCAGCTGGAGCTCAATACATACATATGAACATGTTTTCAAATCTCGCTAGCTCACACGATAGCTGTACTGGTTTATATAAATTCCGAAATCTAGTTTTAAAGAATCAGAAGTAGGGAGTTTTTTGGGCTTTTAAGAAGGCGTTTTTTCCACGACATTTTCCGCAGAATAACATTTCGCTATTATCCACCCTGTACGATTTTATACATTTCCTTAAAACACTAAAAAACTGTTTGAAAAAATGCACTTACCCTTCAAGAGTCTGGCTTCAAAAGTCCTTTAGTAACAAAGTTTACAATTTCGCACCGTTACTATAAAATTATAATAACCGCAATAAAAAAAAACCTACTGGCTTTATGCATGTAGGAATTTGGTAAATTATTTAGCGTCTCTTATGCTCGAACATAATTTATTATCACAATAGAAAAATAATTTCTCTAGAAAAATTCTTCGCTTCAGACCAGCAGCCCGATTTGCTTCAGAGCCATTGTGGCCGCGTGCGCTTTGGCTTCCTTCTTATTTGCGCTAGCAACATTTGGTTTATACTCCATGCCGTTTAGGACTACTTTAAACAGGAAGTTCTTCTTGTGATCAGGCCCACACTCAAACTCCAGTACATATTGTGGGGCCCCTAATTTTCTTTTGGATGCATATTCTCCCAGCAATGATACTGGATGTTTACCCTGTAGAGTTTTCACCGTTTGAACTGCTTTAACTTTTTTCTTGCCTTTCTGCTCCTCATTGGCGACTAGGCCTTTTTTATCCAGTTTTACCTCAAGGAGCAGCGGTTCAAGAGTACCGGTTTTCTCCTTGCCCAGGCCTTCGCCTGGCTTCCAGCCCATTTTTTGCAATAAATGCATTCCCATGCCTCCAGATACTGGGGCGGCAGTTTGAAGCTGGTTTTTCTTCGCCCATGCCTGATAGCCAGAAGCTAATTCTGCTTGGGACAGCACCTGAACGCCAGTACTTCCGGTAAACTGGCCCAGTTGCTGCTTGCTTTTAGCCCAAGTGTCCATTTCTTGATTTGATTTGTACATTTCACTTAGGGCTTGCACATCATGTGGATTCTCCTGCAGTTTTCGCATGGCGGTTAATCTTTGGGACACTATTGACCCTAAGTCTACAGAGGAAAGTTCCGCACCGGTAGGCGGAACTGTGGGGAACACTTGAGGTCCAGGTGGGGCATTTGGGGGAGCTGCGATTAGGGCAGGGCTGGGTTGCAAAGGCACAGGCGGAGGAGGCGCTTCAATTGCCAAAGCAGCAGCAACAGTGGGTACTGCTTTAGGTTTTGGGGCTTCGACAGTTGCTGCTGCTTTTGTATGTGAGCGGCCAACAGGTATCCATTCCTCATTCACTCTATGCTGCTGTCCACTGCTCACTGGGAACTGAATTCTCAACTCCGTCGTCCTTTCGTGGGTTGTTTTAGTGGGCAAAGGAACAGAATTTTTAATGTTCATTGTTATGGTGGTAGGTCGGTCTTTCAGTTTGAATGGGTGATGGAAAGGTTCGTCATTGTCCGTGTCCTCCTTTTCGGATAAACTTGAAAGCTCACCAAGTTCCTCTTTTTTTGAGAGCGACTTGCAGAAGTCGGTGAGTTCGTCGATTGATTTGCCTCCTGTTTTTATAGCGGCTATCATTTTTTCCTGAGCTTTGGATCCTAAATTGAGGGCGCCCGGCAAGCTGCCTGACTTCATCATCTGAATGGCATTCTTCCTTGCGATTTCCAGAAGTTTCTTTTTGTCAATACGAGACGAGTCCTGCTTGCTCCTTTCTCTTTTGCCTTCAAATGACCTGTCTCGTTCCTCATAGTCTCTGCATTTCTCTCGCATCAGCCAAGACTTTTCTCTTTCCCTAGACTTATAAAATCCATCGTCCCGAAACGGCGATTCCCTATCTCTGTATCTGGCTCTGTGCTCGTATTTGTACTCATCCCGATGCCTGTCGTGGTAAAAGTGATCCCTAGATCTCGACCTGGACCTTTCCTTGCGTTGATAATCGTGTCTAGATTTATGTTTTTCTCTTTCGGGACTAAGCTTTTCATACTTTGCCTTTTTATGTCGGCCTCTTTCGCCACTGGAACTTTTTCTTTTCGTGAGTCGATCTTTAGCTTTGTGTCTACGTTTTTTCTTCTTACTGCTACTGTCGGAATCTGTAATTTCGCCTTCCTCATGCTTTTGCTTCCTGTTGATTGATGATAGCTGAATATCCTTGATCCGAATTTTTTGCTTGGTCTTATCCTCTCTATTTTTCTCCGATTGGCTAGCATTACTGGTGTTTATTTCCGACTTAAACGTCTGGTCTTCTTTGTTTATTTCCAATTTTATATCCAAAGATAACGAGGTGCCTTCGATTTTTATTTTTTCGTCAGCTTTATCCTTTTCCTGTTTGATGAGCAGATGCGCTAAGTCCACCTCAGAATCCTCATTCGAAGAGGAATTCGAGGACCTCTTTTTTTTCTTGCTTTTCTTTTTATGTTTTTTCTCTTTATGCTTGCGCTTTTTTTTGCTTTTCTTGCTCTTTTTGCCTTCGTGACTCTTTTCCTTCTTCACAATCACGGGGGGTTCGGCATCAAATGTACTAAACAATTCTGATAAAATTTGCATTGACGATTTATTTGTGTCCAAGATGGCCGGATTCCCTCCAAAATCTGGGTCCGTTTCTTCCTTTGCTGCATTCATTTTGCATGGATTAGAAACCCAGCAGGAAGTGATTAAGCTTTAAACAACCCCAAACTTTCGTTTTTCAATTAAATTGAAACTTGATGAACAAAATAACATCAGAGACAACCTGTATCAAATGACAGTGACGTATAATGTCACTGTCGAATGTTTCGCCTAGATGGTTGTAGCGTTTTTAATAATCCGAACAACGCTGTTTTGTTATGTGCGAGACGGAGACAGACATCCAAAAGTTTATAAACAAAAATAATATAATAATTAAATACCTATCGTAGTCAACAGGCGACCAGGTGATGGGAAGTTTTCGTGGTCCTCTTTGCAACACCAGTAGTTCGTCCACATTGATACTTTTATTAGGGGTGCCTTCTGATATGGATTCATTTAGCTCAGTTAAAGCTAGCCTGAGGGATATTCTAGGGCCATTTGGCAAATCTTCATTATCCCCCATTATTTAGTTAATTCACTATAATGCCACCTGAAACCGTTGCAACCCTTACACAATGAGGTCGACTTGTTTACCCGTCGTTTCAAAGGTTTGTCTGATTATTTTAACAGAGCAAGCACTTGAAATTCACATACAGAACCACACGAAGTTTTCCTTGGTTTTGCTACGAAAATAGAGAGGCTTTTCCCGCTCAAGCTATTATTAGATGAGATATTGCGGTGAACCTTTCAACACAACTGACACCATTATCTACCCCCGCTTATGTTTAGAAATTTTACAACTGGGTATTCACTTTATAGGTTTGTGCCATCATCGATCAGGTAAACTCGCTCTGTTTCAAGTTTTTCACTTTAGTATGACTAAGAACGACAGCATAATGTTCCTGATCGCTCCCTAAATGTTGACGTTAGAAATGGAAAACGAATGGAAGCTACAGTATTATGCTAGACTAAGCATTGTTGTCAGATGTTCAAATGTTTCACCAGTAATGTGTGCGAATACCGGGTTGATTTTGGCTGCTGCTTTATTATATCTGAGATTATTCATTTTCTGCGTTGGTTTTTTTTATCTAAAGCAAATAAATGATAAAAAATACCTAGATTATTAAATTAAAGAGTCCGTACGTTGTCCAAGAACGTATTAAGTAGGAAACCGAGGTTAACAGCATTATTGCACATAATGGCAGCGCCGCTTAATGCATTTGTTTACCTTTACTGGACCTTTAAATATTAAAGCTCAACAGGTATGGGCCTTTCGCCTGCTTTAATTTAATGTTCTCTCGTGTAATTTCGCTTATTGTATTGTTCATATTTCCAGTCGTGTGGAGAAGCCACATTAAACATATTAATGCTAATTATACCTTGCAGAAAAAATCAAATCAAAGAAAAACATTTCTCCTGAAAAAGAACCACAATAAAAAATTTATGATTAAATAAAAGAATCGCCAATCATTCATAAATGTTATTATATTAAAGAACATCTTAGATTAGCTTAAACAATCATTTCCAATTCCTTAGCATATTCAACAGCTTGTTCAGCAAGCTCCACTGATGGAATCGGCTCATGCGTCTTCTTCACTTCTGGTGTAAAATGGAAGAAGCTGTCTTTGCCAAGCTTCCACTTCCTCTGCAATAGAACGAGATTAAGAACAAGTTCTTGTTGACTTTCTCCGGATTTGCAATAACTTACTTTTGATGCCAAAGCCCTTAGAGCATCTTCACTTTGCAAATACAACATTCTTGCCGCGTCTTTGGGTGATATTTTCTCAAAAGCGGTTTCTAAACATGTGGCTATTTCCCCACGAATTGTGTCTAGTAGGATGTCCATAAATAAGTTGTAGCTTTTCGCTGGCACATTTCCTTTCGCCAAAAAAATCTATAAAACCCATAACAATATGTTGTTGCCATAATAAAGGAGGGGCGAAATAGTTAATTGTCCTTCGCCATAACGTCAATAAATGTTTACTTTTACAGCTCAATGTCATGTTACGCAGTTATTTATTCTATAACGCGAGTTAGCAGGACTCAAGTGTTCGGTAGAGTACCTTACTTTAAGTTAAGTCGAAAAACGCTTCGTTTTTAGTTGCAGAAGTCAGAAATTTTGAGTTTTTTCTGGTATTTTCCACTCCGTTTCGTTAGTTTTACTGACAAATTTGTATGCTTGTTTGCAAGCTTTAAGCTTAGGTACTACGTAATTATCCTACTTATGCATGTTCAATATGTCATTGCAAAAACTCATTTACATTGCTTCCACCCGATACGAATAAATGCGCGCTTGCTTTTAAAGTAGCAATAACACAAGAAAATCTCAAAAGCAATAAAAGTATGAAACACTGATATATCAGGACTATCAAATATTCCCATTCAACTAGTCCGGTGTGTTAAATTCAATGCTTAGTATTGTGCGTTAATATTGTGTCCAGAACTATCCATAAAGAGTTGTACCTTATTGTAGCTGCCCTCCATCAAATACTGTTCAATGCTCAATGGATGCCTGATGTAAACATCGTTTTGAATATGTTCAGCTGGCAATAATTCGAGCTCAGTGTGAAACTCGGCCACTCGGTTTTGAGACAATAAAAACAGCAAATTTAGACCCAACAACTGGTATTTGTACGCGGATTCTCCTAGCTGGTTATGGTAGTCAAAATAGTAGCATTTAAGCTGAGCCATATACCTATAATAAAAAAATTTTGAATGATTACTAGGTAGTCAAACGAAAGTTATTTAAATTAGTACCTCTCGAAAGCTGAAATATTGTTGGCTTCTATCGCCCACTGTACTCCAATTTCGAGAACATTTCTGGCCAGAAGCAACTCCTGTTTGGAGGCAATTACATTGGAGGTTGGTAGGAAGATCAAATTCGTTAGTTCAAGCTGAAAGCCCCAAGTTTACAGCGAATTGTACTAACGCAGGAAGTCACTGTCCTTACCTTCAAATCTGTGAGTAGTTTTTCACATTTGCTTAAATTCCTGTGTGAGGAATGCCATTCGGACTCTAACTGTTTACAAAGCGAAGCCACTTCGTTGATTTTAGACATTTTTTCAGCTAACTAGGAGTGATTCTTTGTTTTTGAAAAATTGATATAATGAGAATGAGTTGTTTTTTCTGAATGTCAAAATCCTTTGCAAGTAACCTCATTCTTCTTCTACTTAACAGTACATTGAAATAACTGCGGCTTGGAATGAATAACGGACGTATTTGTGTCCCTTTCTAGTGTATTTGTGCAAAGTTTGTTCCTAGAAATTAGGCTCTAAAGCTCTAAACGAAATAAGCATTTAAATTATTGTCCAAAATAAAAGAGTAAAGTACAAAGACAAAAAGAGTATAAATTCCCGCAGATGGGCCGCAATATTACAAATATATTTTTTTCAAGATCTTACTGCAGATAATCGTCGGTTGACCCAAAAATATATTATTAAATATATTTAAAAAATATATTGGGAGTTTTTTATTTAGTTCAGTTAAAAAATCGATGACTATTTCGTAGTATTTAAAGCCTTTTTTGCCTGCCTATTTTTCGATAGTTTCAGAAATGCAATGCAAACAATGCTTCGGAAAGAGTAAGAAATTAAATACAAACATGATTGAAAAATGTTCCAACACAAAAATATTTACATTCTATGTGAAAATGACTAATGACCCAATTTGGGAGTAACGACTACCTTGAAGAATGTAGGTGTTTAATAATTAATGTGTCTTAATTGTCGTTGATTCTCATAAATTCCCTCAGTTTATTTCGAAAACATCCTGTTAGATCAGTCCTAAATTTTTGTGTAGTGTATTATAAGTAGTAGGGTCTGCTGGTGAAAATTGATGTAAAGTACCTGACAATATAAATAAAAATTCCCGTTTTAAAATAATGATAGCAAAACTAGTATTTACTCTATTAGAGTAACAATAAATAGGCGTAAATAATCAATGCGATTCGTATTATGTTCAATGACATAATAGAAAAAGGTTTACAGCATATATCTAATTGAGATAAACGAGTTTGTCGAATGCAGTAGGAGGAGACGATTAGACTAGTAAATTTATATTTGCTGCGTTCAATTGGCAAATTGAGCTCAGCATCCGCCCGCGCCAAAAGGCATTTGGAACGAGCCAAGATTGCATTGTATTTATGGCGATTTTCAAAACATAGTTTAATCAGAATTTAATTTATTGAAAATAGGTACCAGATTTTTTTGCTTCGAAGTTCTAAACCACAATTAATTTAGTTCTAAACTACAAACTAATTATTTTCCATACAAAAAATGCTCCTAGCGATAAGTTAATAGAAACATTGGATTTTATAAGAAAAAAAAATTTTATGTTAAAAATTATTATCTACATATTCTTCAATTGTAGTCTAAAAGAGCTTGAATCATTTACTAACAAATAAATTTTGAAAAACTTTCTTTTCTTTAAAACTGATATTTTTTTCTGCAGACAATTATTGTCCTTCGAAACCGGTCTTCAAATTGCCTTTTTACTCAACTTTTTGTTTACTTTTTACTAAACAGAGAAATACCCTGTATTTGAAAACGGTTGTTTTTCGGTTTTAAAATCCCTGTCCAGTTTTAATTCCACTTTAGAAGGTATCTTAAGTTTGAGCCAAGCTGTATAAGTAAATAGAGAATTCTCACAAATTTCCATAGTTATACTTCAAATTTCAACCAACGGCATGCTTAAGTAGGTGAATAATTAACTTAATTGAGATCGTTTAATTTCAGCTATTTTACTCAAATACACTGCTTGTCTACACTTAAGTACTTGTATATTTATCGTCCCAAGCTTTTTGGCAGTGACGCAATAATTGTCGTACTTTTTCTATTTCTGGTTACAAGTCCTCGAGCTTACGTCAATTTTCATGACATTTTGTTCGTTAGTCTATTGTATTCGTAGTGAATAGAAATGACATATCAAAAATCGGTTGTTTTAGTTTCGTGGACAAAATTGCAGGTCTTTGGAACTGTACATGCTCGCTTCACCCTTTTGAAACATTTTCTCCTTTAAAGATTCCTTTTTAACCGAAAAATATTTTATTTAATTTTTTTTTATTCGAGCTATATTTGACGTTTGCTGTCAAGAGCGTGGCTACATTGATAAACACCGCCAAGGATAAGTATGAATGTTTATTTTCAATAATTCTTTGATTTTCATAAATGGAAATTTAAGAGTAAATTTGCAATTTTAAGGAATTTCTTAAGAGTTGCGGACTACCAAAGTAAGTATTATAATGTCAAGTGCGATTTTTTAAAATTTCGTACTTTAACAGTTTGGAATTTAAATGTGTTTTATCTTTCTTCCCGCTGCTTGTTTAGATGAACATATTTTCAAATTGTTTGAAAGTTGTTGACTTTTCCGCCTTGTTTTCGAAAGTTCTCACGCAAATTAGACCTTTATTGTTACATTACTAAGGAACTAATTAAATCATCATCAGACAAAGGATTCATATAAAAAAATTATATAAAAATGCGCGAGTATCTACATTTCGTGAATTCATTATACCTTTGATTTTTCACATTTTTCAAAATTTTTCTTCGAGAACAGACGACTATTTAGTATGTCATGTCAAATGTCATAATGCTTGAAGATGCAATGCTTCAAACTAGCTGTCAGCCTGACAGTCAGAGAAGAAAATAAAGTTTGTAATTGTAATTGTTGTTGTCATTAATTACTAAATAACTGTATTAAGCAGAGCATAAACATGTCTGTTGTACTTGTTAACTGTCAATCTGACAACTGATTAGAAGAATTGCATACTCCCAAGCGTTATGACATTTAATGGCTATATTTGACAAAAATGTCAAAATAATCAATTTTTTGCAAATATTACCATTTTTTCGTAAATTTGACGCTCTATGACATTGAAATGTTTGCATGGTACACAGGAAGTGCGATTAAATACCGATTTATTTCCTCCATTACAATTTTTCCTAAAATTCTCTCATTATTTGAGAATACAAATATTTAAAAAAAGATTGAAGGGGAATAGAGAAATAATTTTTTGTAAATACTATATCTTTTATTAACTGGAACCCTACTAGAAAGAAAACAGGTCAATAATTTTTTTTTATAATAATGTAAAACAACCAGGTAAGAAAAAAATATGTTAAAATGTTTTTATTAGTCAGTAGCAACCCTATACAGTTGTACACTTTAGAAAAAAGGGTCGACAGGAAATAACTTTTCAAAACATACCTATCTTTTATACAGGGTGACTGAAAAAATTGCAAAATATTATCCCACTATTGTGGATAATTTTGCCAGAACTCAACTTCATTGATCAACTCCAAAAAAACTCCCTTCTTACTCGACTTGTTGAGACGTTTTCTACTAAACGCCACTTGAAATAATATACTGAGTGTTTGGTTTTGAGTTTACAAATTGTAGTCAATTTTCGGTATAGCCTTAGAAAGTACTGATGTATTGGGACACCCTGTAGGTACGCAAAACACTTCCATCCCCAGCTGACTCAATAATCAACCTTGTACCTAGTGGCAAAGAAAAACTTATTTAAAACAGTCCTGAATCCTAGAACACTAAAAAAGCCGAGCAGTGTATAATAGAGCGAAACAATAGTACAAACCGACTACCTTACCAGAGCTTAATCCGCTTGATTTGTTACGTGCATCAGTCCTAGAAATTCTTCGGACCAAAGATAATTTAAATATTATTTCACCCGCCTTTGGGAACATGCAGATACGCGCTTTTGCATTGGGGCGGCAGTTTCAATTTTTTGGCTTGCTGCTGCTGCTTGGGGCGGCAATTGAAGTGAAGAGTTACTTTGACGAGGATGAAAACTATCCGAGATTCTTAACGGCAGCGGTTGGTGACTTTATAGTGTTTGATTGTGAAATTGATTTTCCACAAGGATACCCGATACCTTATAAACTTTTTTGGAAAAGAGGGGTAAGAGACAATAAAATAAAAAAAATCAGTAACAAAATGTAAAGGCAGGAGCAATATTTATAGTACAAAAGCTTTCGAAGTGGTCGATTTAACAAAGTCGACATTTTGTCATTGAATTTACCTCTTTTTAAGTGGCAGCTCTTAAATTCTTAAATGGCAAAATTGAGAAATATTTTGTTCTTTTTACTAGTTATTTTTGTAGAGGACTTTGAACAAAACACGAAGTGTTTTTGAATCCAAAATCATTTTTTCGGTTGAAGAGAGAGATATTTATTTTACGCACAAAAATTAAAATTCCGAATTCGCTGCCTTCGACCTTCTGAATACTGACTATATTTGCAAAAAGGCTGAAAAATTGACGTTATTGTGTAGAAAAAATGTTTAACTCAGCCCTTCTCATTAACATAGGAAAATTTTGGCAATTGTTAGAACATCAGACTATCAGAATCCCAGAACCCACAACTTTTCTTAGTAGTGTTTTTCGCAAAAAATCAATTTCTGGAAACTGGGAAACTTTGGAAAAATGGAAATTCTTTTAACATGTTATCCTATTGACTTCAATCACAGAAACGAAATTTTTATCTCAAAATCAGTCCAAGAAAATTTCTGCAAAGAAACGTGTTTTGTATTTGGATGCAGATAAAAGTTTCGACATCATGGACATTTTTAGATTGTTTTGAAGATTTTCTTCAGGGGGATAAACGATGATTTGACGACCGAAAAAATCAGAAAACGAGATTTAGCACACTTTTCACTACTCATGTCTCTCATCGAAACTGCATTTTGTAACATTTACACTCGCATTTTTGGAACAGAAAATATTTTTTTATTTTTAAACTGCATTTGAAAATTTCCAATGAATGAACTATTTAATTAAAAATATCAAATTTTTCAGTCAAAAGAAATTTTTGTTTTCAATAGTCTATAGTCCTAAATAACTTTGCCACAAACGGTGCTGAAAAGCGGTATTTTTCGAACCCCGCTGAGTGTACAAAAGTGTATTTTTACGTATGCAAGTCGGTGAAAATAATTCTGTTTTTGTTTATGATTAAAAATCATTCAAACTTGCAGCTTGGACCTACTTATTACAAAGAAAATTGCATTTCTCATAATTTATAAGTGTTTTGATGCGTTGTAGATCGTTTCCTTTGCCTCATAAAAAGTCAGAACCAAGGAAAATTTAGCATATGAAATTGTCATTGTTATACAACTATTTTTGAGCAAAAACCCCAGTTTGAAATAAACACATTTATTCTTATTGCTTCCGGCTGAAATCGCATATAAAACTCAATTTAAGGCTTCATTGGTTCGGAATAATGCGATCCTATTACCGTATTATGCAAGGAAGATGATACTCAATAGAACAACCACAATTATGAACAATGATTAAGATAAAACAATTTGCGTGCTGACCTGCCTTCTTTTCCAACATTGTTTAGGAAAAAATCGTCTTCTCATGGTACGAGGGACAGACTAGCGAAGACGAAGAATACGTGGGTCGCATTGCTTTGGTGGATAAAAACATTTCCAACGGTTACTACGAGCAGGGATATGAGCGCCCTTACCAACACTATGGAAGGGCTTCAATCAATCTCACTTCTATAAGAGAAGCGGATGCTGGATGGTATGAATGTAGGATAATGTTCCCTACCAGAACACCCCCGTATAGGAACAATGGCACTTGGTTCCATCTCACAGTAAGCGGTGAGGAAAAATAGGTTCTGAGATTAAATTACCGTCTTCTAACATGCATTCATAATTTTTCTTCATTTTCATTTCTTTAAAAGCTTGACGACGTTAAATGGAAACTGTCATTGTTCATTTAATTCCTGCAGTTTATTGAATTTTTTAATTTGATTAATTTTCTGTTCGTTGGTTGTTCTTAATGTACTGAACCACATCGACCAGGAAGGATTAGTATACAAACTTCATGCAAATTGTCTCTTCTTATCTCCTTTAACTTTCAGTTCGTTTTCATTATTTTCTTTATTACTTTTATTAATTTTTTACTCCTCATTTCGTTAGTTGGTGCTTTGCTAAAATTGTTCTTAATGCAGCTGGCATTGCAGATTTTATTTGGTTGCCCAGTCAGGCGTGCATGTGAAACAATTTTCAAAATTTCTCGAAAACTTTCTACAGGGAAACAAAAGTAGTGAGAATTTTGCAAGAAATTAAAAATTGATTTTTTGACAAAGACCTTTATTTTTCCTCAGGCGGAAATCTCCTCGCAATACCACCGATTAATCAAACAGTCCAAGAAGGAGAAGAAGCCAAATTCGAATGCGTTGTTAAAGACATTACCCTGATCAGGGTCCGATGGCTGAAGGACGGCATAGCGCTCAGCGCCTATCAGGATCTATCTAGACGATCACTGGTAAGTCCTAAATATCCATTTACTTCCATGTAGCACCCAACTGTTTTCCAGCTGGAGAAAGATGGCACTTTGGTAATACATCCGACAGACATGGGAGATTATGGGGAATATGAATGCGAAGCCACCAATCAAGCAGGAGATTTGCAGAAAGCAAAGGCATTTCTGAATGTTCAATGTAAAAGTCACTTCGATCGAGTGTGTAAATATGAAAAGTGCTTGTATTGCAGATAAAGCCAAAGTGGTTTATGCGCCGCCTGAATTGCATCTGCCCTATGGAAGACCTGCTATGATTGATTGTCACTATAGGTAAGTTTAGAGAAAATTAAATTGAATTAAAGTAAGAAAACCCTAGATTGGTGGCCGCCCAATTCGCCTGATCTAAATTCACTTGATTTTTACATCGTGTGCGTTTTCAGCCAGTTAAAGCTCAACTCGATCGATTGCGTTATTATGTATGTTTTGGTTTTGAAACCATCATCAGGGCAGGAAAAATTTGTACAAATATTTACAATTGAAAAACTAAAAAATGAACAAATCACCAACACTTGATGATACTTTGGGAACCAAAACGTACTCAAGAAAGCAATCGACGAAAAGTTTGGGTTTGAACTGATTGCAAACCAGGAATATCAGTCAGGTAGAAGGAGATTTTCCAATTAACAGAAAAGTATTATTAACGATATTGAATTTGCAATATTTTGTCGTTTGCCAACGTTTGGCTATATTTCTCAAAATTTCGAAGATTTATTCGAAACAAGCTTCTCATTTTTACTAAATAATTCAATTAACAAAGTTTCCTCTTGCTGCTAACTAAATGCGAATTATTTCACAAAAATCTTAAACACCACCCTCTAAAGACAAATTTTGAAGTCCTTATGTTTTGAATGTTTATAAATATAATTGTTTTATTCTGTGCATTTAAATCAATTTTGTCCTTTTGGTTGGTTTTGTATAAATTTAGGTTGAAGATCACTACACAAGAAGTTTCTGTTGCATCTGAAGCTTCGATGATCTAAAGCGGTGTCAATTGCCAAACATATCTCTTCTTTTCAACTTTCTCTTAAACATCAACAGAAATTAGCTTCTTTCTCGAAGTAACTCGACCGTAATAAATGCTGGTTAATCAAACTATTTCAGGGCAAATCCACCTTTAACGAACCTCAGATGGGAAAAAGACGGTTTTCTCTTCGATCCCTACAACGTCCAGGGTGTTTTCTATCGAAAAAATGGCAGTTTGTACTTGAGCCAAGTAGATGAAAGCCATGCTGGAAGTTACACGTGCACCCCGTATAACGATTTGGGTACCGTAAGACTAACAACTAAAGAATTAAATTAAATATTCGCTTAAATTAGGCACTCAAGGACCGTCTCCTGGCATGTACGTGATAGTCCAGAAGGCCCCAATTTTCACTGTTACTCCTCACAATTTGTACTTGCGAAAGTTGGGAGAAACTATTGAAATCCCTTGCGATGCTCGAGATGGAAATAACGGCCATTCGCCGATTATTGTTTGGAGTAAAGTAAGTTTTAAGTGCGCTGTTGAAGCCCGAAATGAGCTGGAAGGGTTTGGGTTTAGAAAGGTTCTTCGCTGCCATTGGGTCGATATACTATCAATGAAAACAATCTGACAATAACGGAAATTGAGGAAGGAGATAGAGGCATTTACCAGTGCTCTGCAACTAATAAAGCTGCCACTGTAACCGCAGAGACTGAATTACTTGTAGGTAAATAATAAGTGACTCTTGTAAGAACATGGGCTTGGTTTATGCTTCAAGTGGTTCCAGAAAATATTCCCTCCAATGCTCCCTACAACCTTTCGGCGGTATCTTCGGCAACTTCCGTCCACTTAACTTGGTTGTCGCGAAGACAGCAAAACGTGGAGTTTAGTGTTTGGTATAAGAAAATCGAAAATACCGAGTGGAGGACTTATCAGGTACCAACGTCTAGATCTCAAGAAGCCACCATTACCAACCTGGAACCAGGTTAGGCGGAAAAAAATGGGCGGTTGGAGGCTTTAATGGGTGTTTTAGGGACGGAGTACGAGTTTATGGTGTTGTGCAAAGACGACAATGGAGGAGGCCCGTTTAGCAAATCGTTGAGGATTTGGACTCAAACAGAACAACAGCATGAAACGAATTTATTCAAGGGTTTGTTCGAGTTCTTGATTTTATAAAAATAACCTTCAGTTGGTTCCCAGTTAATAGGGACATGTTTTTAAAGCGGTAGGTATTTAACTTGCGTTTGAATGTATATTTAAACAATTTTGGTTCCATGCGTTTGGAAGTTTATTAACAACTCAAAACCGCCGTTTCGTGAAACGCGTTTTTCAAATTATTGCGCATTTTAAACATGTGCAACCAACCCAACGCACCGGCGCAGTAACTCAGTTCCGTTGCTGGAGAAATGTTGATGACTTTTTTTACTTGTTTTTAGATTTATTTTAAGGGCCATTTATTAATAATATTTTAAAAATTTCTTCAACAATTCAGGATTTTACAGTTTTAGCCAAGTTACTCTTTTTTCTAAATGCTCAATTTTCTAAAGATTAACTTAAAAATACTGAAAATCTTAAGGTATTTTCCGCGAAAAATTATGAAATAAATTTCGAATCTTTATTCGCTTTGTAAAAAGGTTTGAAATCCCTTTACAGCGTCGAATTTAGTACAAAAATCAAATAATTTTCTATCAAAAAACGAACAGAATAAGCGAAAGTTTATAACAGATTATATGAAAATATCGTCAGCATACCTCTAAAGACTGTAGAGTTTCCTAAAAAATGTCATTTTTTTTGCTTTACTTTCTACTCAAAAAAGCTCTATTTTGTAGATTCACTTAAAAATACTGACGATATGGACGTCTTTTACGCAAAAAATTACAAGATAAATTTATAGCATTGTAAAAAATTTACAAAAACTTTTTTCAGGGCCTCCCATTTTTCGTCAAAGGCCATTAAGGTTTTCTAAATCCGATCACAAAACTAAAAGTTTTTAATCGAAAACGCAAAACAACATTATTTTCTGATCATTTTCTTCTTTTCTGACAATAATTGAATCTTTTCAGCCCAAAATGACAAAATTAAGCCTTATTCATCGGTTTGCAGGGAACTTTAGAAAACCCATTTCAGCTTCAAATTTGGCACAAAAACCAAATAATTTTATTCAGTTTTTTTGCCGAAAATAATTAGGATTATCTTGAAAAACGACCAGAGAGCAAAAGTTTACAAAAAATTATTTGGAAAATTCGCCGCCTATCGCTCACCGCTCCTTGTTCCTTTAAATTTTCAGGGCATTCCAGTCGTAACAAAGTTTCTATTAAGCAATTCTTTCGACGCAAAAATTGCATTATTTTTTTCTTTTGCTTAACATACAATCTTCAAATATTTTCTGGGAAAAATTATAAGATACATTTTATTGGAACACTCGCCGCCTTAACCGCTTTGCCAAAATGTTTGGAAAACTTTTTGCAGCATAGAATTATGGACAAAACCCTAATAATTATTTCTGATGAACTCAATATCAGGAAATTAACTTTTTATTTGCACGTAAAAAATCAACTTCTTTGTAATTTATTATTCACACTTTAGGACGGCGGCACTAACAGTTTTCGATTTTTTTTTATATTCCTAACAAGGGCTTCGTGCAGAAAAGGTCTAATGGTCACATTTTCACCTTCAAGCTGATCGAGAAGCTGCAAATAATTCTGTTTTTTGAAAATGTTTGGTCAGAGACGTGTCCAGGCACAGGCCACTGATATAATTTTAAACGCGATTTTTACCGAAAGAAATGTAGATTTGTTAGACAATTTATGTTACAAACATGTATATTTCAAGAAATTGATCGAATTTTGGAACCTTTGGTGCGAGTTGAACACAAATTTACAGATAACACTAATAATAGAAAAAAATACTATATAGTTAGTTTGATCGTAATATAAATGAAAAAAGTTTACTTTCCACCTTCAGGCCCAGTCCCCTTGGATTACACGAGAAATGTGCAAGTGAAGCCCACTGACGATGGTTTATTGGTTACCTGGGATCCTCCAGAGTTTGGCATGGAGTTGTTTAAAACATACGTAGTTAGGTAAGCAATTGTGTAAAATTTAATAGACAAAATTGATAAATTGATAATTGTTTCCACTAATCTTGCGCCCCCCTAATCGGAGTTAGCATTACAAAAGAGCAAATAGTTTGGGCCAAAAGCGGTTTATTTACCTGATGATTTTCCGGAAGGAATTAATCCTTACACGACTTTAGTCCAAGTATACTCTCTAAAATTGGCGCTTGTAATCTGCATAATCAACGTTGAACGCTCTGTTAAAATTAAAGCTTCTGCTGGAACATTTCTGAAGCAAATGCATTCAAAAACACTTTTCACACTCAGCCTAGAGCCATGGTTCACTTGAAAGATCACTTTTCCATCTCTATCCATAAAAGCATCAAAATCTAAGTGATTTTTTCTTAGATGGAGTGAAGCAGCTGATGAGTATCTATTTGGGTCAGCAGAAACTGCTGAAACAACTTACCTTAGTAAGCATATGAAAAACTTATTCCCTTCTATATTCACCCAAACAGTTGCGTCCTTAACTTATTGCAGTTAGGAATCTATCGGAAGGTACCGAATACGATCTACAAGTGGTCGCCCAGTCTGTAGACGATCAGCAGGCTGTAGGCGATAAAATCAGGGTTCTTTATCCAGGATTTAAAAGTATCAGGGCGATTTCTACAGGTACTGATTTAGAAGCGAATAATAATGAGCAAGGGCTGGAAATTGTTTTTTTTTAAGGTATTATTGGAGGACTTGCGTTTCTAGCCGTGGTGTTTGTCGCAGTGTTTTTCGTCAGGAAGAAGTGTTTTCGAAACAGACCACCTCTCATCAAGAAATAGTATTTTGCACAACATAGAATAGTGTTTAACATTTAAAAATCTATTAAATAATAGCGTAGAAAGTGTATTTTTATATAGAGTTTCAAATAAATGCAATTGATTTTCATTCAAGAGTACGTTTATTTTCAAGTTTCATTCGTGTTTTAAATCCTGTAGTATTTTGTCGCATACATGTTTAAATGATAAGTTGCGAGACTGTTTAAGCTAGCCAAAAAAGCAAATATTGTGTTTAGATTTCGAGTTGAATGAGAAACAAACACTTTCCTTGCGTATATAAAAATGTATTTGTAAATATTGAATAATTAAACCTACATAAATACATTGGTATAGGTACAAGAGTTGAGTGAAAATGGTATCGTAATATCAATCCAAATATCCCTACAATATTACAAAAATAAAATATCTATGCTATCTACAGTTGTTAAAAAATAAAAAAAAATCTATAACTATCACAAAATGTCAAACCGCAATTTTCCACATTTTTTTAAATGGAAATTGTGGTCGAGATTGCATCGAAACCGAACCTGAAATCAAAAATACTAAACCTTTAAGCACCTTAGTTCAAGCGCCTGTCCACTCTTTCGAAAAAATCGACTAGAGAATGAACATGTTAGGACCCGACAATTCTTAGTTTATTTTTATATATAGATTCAGAAAGCCAACAAATGCATGAAACTACAGTGCATACTTGCATAATTTCTTGTGTGCACCAACGAAATTCGTGTCATCAGATCTAGTAGATGTTACAACACAAACCCAATGAAATAAGCAAGGCGTGAACGTTGTCGCAAAATATTTTTTGTCGTGCAGAAATGAACGTTAAAAACTGGCTCAAACCAGTGTTCTTAAAAATACTTGACAAAACCGACTAAAGATTATAATCACCATATAAAACACACACACAACTTCAAATCACAATCAAATCTCCTATAAAAATTTCTATCACAATTCAAAATGGCCAGAGGAGCACTACATGAGCGTTATTTTAAGGCCGGAGAACTGATTTCAGTTCTTAACGATTTCCCAACTAGTTCAGTTCGGATGTTTTTGTCAAAATCATTTGCTAATCACAATCAGACGCTTACAATAGAGAATATTTTATAAAATCATCAATGTAAAGTTTCTAAAGTATTTAAATGATCAATGAGACTAGCGGAATGAAATTCGCTCCAAGGGAGAAAGTGGACACACTGGAGGCAGAAGTCGAGGCTTAAACCGTTGAAGACATTTTTTGCAATGAAAGCAATTTAATACTTTCTTCTCAAGTTACATCAGAAACGTTTGAGATTTCATTGTTCTTCAACAAAAAAGTCGCTTGACTTCTACCACTCTTACTTCAACTCATGCAGAACATTAAAGAAATAATCATAATAATTTAAGCCCCAGTTTCCCACAACGCCTTTCACAAATCCACCCAATCAGCATCCCATTGATTGTCTCCATCGCACTTAACGGTTCTGGAACAGCCTTATTCGCAGCACAAAGTAGGCAACTATTCGCAGAAAAACGAATAATCCGGACAACACTCCTATATCTATAAAGTACGTTAACATGTCCCCCTTCAAGGACATTTCATCGAGGAACGCAGAGGGATATTTGAAGTGGCAATAGTCCCTGTTGCACACCAATTTCGACCGATTTAGACCATAGATTGCCACCATGGTGCCTTCGAAGCTATACTTTACGTAGCTGAGATAGGGAAGCCATTGGAAATAGAAGGGAATGTCCTCGAGTTTGGCGAAGAAGCCGGAGAAAAGTACCATGGGGACTGTTGAGATGGGGCCCAGAAACACGCCGCTCTGGAAAAGCCCAAATTAATTGGTTTACGGGTTTTTCGGATAGAGGATGGAAAAGACGTACCTCGATGTTGAAGGCCGCTCCAACCAGAAGGCCAAAACTCTGAGAAACCAGTGCAGTGAGAACCGCAATGAGAAGAAACATGAAGAATCTGGTTGCGTCTAGCGGCTGGTCGGTGATAAAGTACACTCCCACTATGTAGCACGTGGTGAGGATAATCTGAACGGAAAATTAGAGAAGAAACGTTGCTAATTTTTATCAAGAAAGTGTACATTTAAACTCACCTGGAACGGCACGTCGGCCAGAGTTTTTGCGAAATAATACGCTTTCAGTGAGTACCAGTAGTTCAGATGCTCCCGCACAAACACAGACATCTCTAATGGAACTAAAATAAATACAGTGAAAGAATGAGAAAAAGTGACTAAATGAGTGAAAGCAGTTAGAACAGTATCCGTGTACTTTTGCGCAAAAGTGGTCCTTCGAGCGGGAGTTAGAATTGCACATAACAATAACGTGGAACTAATTTTGGTTGGAAACCGAATTCATTAAAAATTCGTTTGTCAATAAAATAATTAGTAGAAATATTAGTATTATTATTTTTATTAAAGATATTAGTGTTATTTTAGTGAGCCAAATTTGCCCTAACTGTGGAACTGGATCAATCGCTTAGAATTTTTCTTTTACCGATCGATCGAATCAATTTTTATTTGGCATGATTTTATTTGGATAAAAAAGACGTTTCTTGGATCCCATCACCAAAAGTTTAAAGATAAACCAAATAGCTCGAAACAGTTTTTAAATTAAAAAAAAATCAATTTTTTCGTCGGTCCGATCTTCGCGATCTAGAGATCTAGATGTTGAAGCTAAAAGTTTATAGACAATTTAACACAAAAATTCGAGTTTATTTACGAATTACATAACAAATGACCCAAATCTGTGATTCTGACAGACTTAGTTCAAAGTTAAAGTTTAAAGGGTCAAATGTTTCGTTCGAACTCGGAATTCAACTAGGAATTTTTATTCTCAAGCGCACTGACGAGACCCAGATTTAAAAAATCGGATCAAGAGAAAAAAATGTGTATTTGTTGTACATAACTAAACGTTGATTATTTGAGACCACTCTGTAAATAAACGAGATGGTCCAGAAATTCAAAAACTTTTTTCAAAATCCGAGGTTTACCTTAATGCCTGTGGTGTTGAAATACAAAAAAAAACGTTTTTGTGCCCAACTGAGAACCTAGCATTGCTTCATTTGCCACCCTGTAAAAACTTTATTTAAACCACTATTTTTTTTGCAAGAACACGCTCTAACCGAAAAAGATTTGCGCCAAAAAACGCGCAAAACAAAAATCAAATCGCTCAAGGCAAAGATTTATCAAGTTCCAAAATTTGTCGAAATTTATCGGTATAACGCCTAGTTTGTTGAGCAGTTTAGTTCTTTATGAAGCTTTTTTTTTATACTTACACGTTAGAATTGTGGGCATCATGGCTGTGAACATCATGAACATCACAGTAAAAAATAAACAGCCGGCATTGCTCATCACTTTAGCGGCGTCATTTCCAATTCCGTAAAAAATTGCCCCAATGAGGACTCCAATTATAAAATGTGCTACTAATCTAAGTCTTGTCAGCGTCTTATCTCTGAAAAGAAAAAAATAATGCGATTAGTGAGTGCAACAAGCCCAGAGAGTCTGATAAAAAAATACATTTTTCTCATAAATAAATAAGATGACGACAAAGCTATCAATTACTTATAAAATTTATTATAACACTTATAAAAAAATATGAAAAACTATGCGTCTGCGAGTCATAGGTGAAATTCTTCTATTTTGATCAATTTCGAATCGAAAATACGACAAATTTCCCTGCCAATGAGGAATACCCTGCCTTAAATACAGAATGGGATTTTTTTGAGACTCCGAAATCCATTCAAGAATTCATTATTGCAAATTATTCATGCAAACAGCGCTTATTTGTTTCTTTTTTCAAACGTAAACATTACGACTTGAGTTTGTTTAGTATCCAATTCGGGGAAGTGAGCAAAACTCGCCCCATTAGAGTTTTCCGTCTTTTCCAAATAAGCGCAATTTCTAGACTTCCAAAAAAATTTCCCATACGCAGGTAATTCAGACAATCTGTTTCAATTGCAGGAGTCGGATTGCTCGACCTTAATAACCTGGATTTCACCTTGATTCTTACCTAAATATAATACAAACGCTCCTCATAAAAAGTACTAAAAACTGATGAAATCCAGATGTGGGAAATCCATGTTTATCTTGAGTTAGATTTTCCGACGAATCTGCAATAGAAAAAACATTGTACTGGTAAATATTGAGTTGCAAAAGCAATAAATCACTAGTTATTGCAAAAATGTCGACGTTAGTGACCGTTTGAGCGACCAAAAATACATCCTTTCAGAATAAACGCTATAAAAACAGTAAATAATTATACGTAATAATCCAGAATGAATAGTTTCGGATCCATTTTCGTCCTGTTTGTATTCCCGTGAAATTAAGCTCAATCCTTGATTCACTTTAGTCTTGTATAGGGTGAACAAAGCAACGATATTTGTTCATTTACACTAACGTTCTTTTGTGCGCTTAACTGTATTTACAAATGCGAAAAAAATATTATTCCTCTTACGTACGGATATTTTAGTACGACGTATTCATGTTCCTTTTGCATTACACAGGAGGAAATTATCAGCTCTTTCACATTTTCTTTTGCGCATTTTTAGCCACCAATTTGCTTACCTAATTTTAAATTATGCGCGTTCGATTTTTAATTGTTCTAATTTTTTTGCTTCTAATAATCTTTCTTTGAGTTAAAAAAAATGGGAAAAAAAAGCGTTGCTAAATCAACCATTTTTGTTACTAATTTTCAATAGCATTCTTTGATTCATATTGGAAAATCCTTAACATTATAAGAGTTGCTGAAAGCGATTGCAAAATAATTTGGCACATAATTTGAGAGTTGAGGTGAACAGACCTTCAGCGGCCTTCTGCATTTCTTCAGTGTGTTTGTTAGGAACACTATGTTTAGAGAACCTGAAGAAAGTTGATCTTTACTTTGTTCGTGTTAAAAAATTTTAAAGACATTGGAAGACTGGCACCTCTGAAGATGCCTCCTGAAAACTCCCCATCTTCAAGCAATGGCCGCAAAAACTCTTTCATACAATTACTTACTTAATAACATCGTAAACAAATAAAAAACGCATTGCAATAAATTTATATTTTTCCAGTTTTTTTCTCAACAATTTCCTCAATTTTTCCGAGTAAGTTTTTTTTCAATTTTACTTAATCACAGCTTTATTTAGACCAGTTTTCCAAAATAGAAAGTAGTTTTACTCATTTTTGTTTACAAATAAGCTTTACTTTTTAAATTATATATTGCACCAATAAAACGATTAAATTTGAAATAAAAAATTCGATTTTCTATGCGAAATTCACTCAGCCTCATCAAGACATAAAGTATGCACAATATCTAAGCTCATAAATCAATAAACTTTTGTAAATGAAGCTCGGCGTTAAAATATTAATTTTGATTAGAAAGAAAACAACGTTTGGATTCATCAGGATGCATATTGTTCAAATTGAAAAGTCTGAAAACCCTCAGAAATTTTCAGTTCACCTCCGAAAACTTTCGCTTGTTACAACTTTCTATTAAAATAACTGGTTCAATTGCTCTAAAATCGGTCAAGAAATTATCTCCTAATTTTTTTCTCTGCTCTTTCTGCTTTTTAGTTTAGAAAATCGGTTTTCTACGTATTTGGAAATTAGGTATAAATATACTCTTACCAAGCATAAACTCGAAACTTACCAAGCAAAGATGTGGTGCAGGTGGGTGGAACCAATCCAGGATTTTTCGATGATCCATTGGGCAAGTTGAGGCATTCTCCATTAGGTTTCATTGGCATCGTCTCCTTTGCAATATCATTGGCAATGAGCTTTTGCCCAGTGGCTTCCAGAGCTTTGGAAAGCGCGGTGTTACAACGTCCCGCATTTACCGCCACTACCAGTTTCTGGACGTAGTCTCCATGCTCTCCACAGGCCACTTCCATTACTAAAATCAAATGAACACCATCACATTTTTCGATTGTATCCGATATTGATTAGCCTAAATTTATATTTTTAGCAGTTTTCTTCGGTCATTCCGATCCTGTTTCATCTCATTCGCTAATGAGGTTCAATCTGGCCAAAAAAATGCCGGCAATTGTAGTTGGCGTGATCGCGTGTCCTCAACAGAGACGCCAAAGACATTTCAGATTGAACACGTTTCTCATTGCCGCCTTGATTAATGCTTTTAAATGGCTCCTTACCCCGAGTACGTGTCGAGCTAATTTTAACAGGTCAACAATCTGCTGACTGATGCGGATTATTCAAGTCGCAATGCGAAATAATCAATCAAATCAAATAATCAACCAAGGCTGAAAATTTCCCTTCCAGTTTTGTTTCTTTTGGTATTTTCTGAAACCTTACGACTACAGGAACGATGCTATTAGAGAAGCCTATTTACGGTCCGGGAAAAAAATGCTAATAATACTATCATGAGAGATTGCGTGCTCAAGTTAACCACGAACTGGTGATTAGTGTCCAATAAGTAGGATTCCTTCATTGGTAATGCGAGCCAGCCAAGGGGCTGGAGAAGACATGAATATTTTCAGCAGATTAACTGTGTTGTTTTGAGACTGCCTATCAAATTTACATTTTACTATCTATAAGGTGTTTCAACGATCAAAATGTTCCGCACTTAAAGTGTAGTAATTTAACACTTAAAGTAAACGAACAAATCTGTCGCTGATTAAAATAGAAAGAATATGCGCCTTTAAAGTTCATAGTTGATGATAACTGCAGAAAAAATAGTTTGTTGGCTTTACTTCGCCAAGAAAGAGTGAGTTATTTGGATTTTTAGGCGCTCGTAAATGCGAACTTTGAGTAATTTGCCAAAAATGCGAGGCCAAACCTGCTCGTTCCATTACTGCCTCTGGAAAAGTTTGGAAGTTCGGGATTTTTCAGAACGGTCTGGTTGGGGACTAAATTGAAAAATTCGCCACGACCTGGGTAATTTGGGAATTTTTACGAAATTTTCCAACGTATTAGAGCAGAAAATTCGCTCTCCATTGCTCTTTAATGCAGGTTTGCGTATCGTCTGGTTAAAAAGATACGATTTTTTAGTTCAGGTATGTTTGCCAGGACCAGTCGGGTCGAGGGCCTAGATTGAAAAATTCACCACAATTTGAGCAATTGGGAAATTTTTAGGAAAATGGCCAATGTTGTAGAGCGGAACCTGCTCTTTTCACTGCAGTGCATGGTAGCTTTCCATGAATTTTCGCTTGCGAGTTACCAATTTTTAAATGCGACTGCTCTCTCTGTCTCAGAACCAGTCTGGCCGGGGGTCTATAATATTTATACATTGAAATGACATTTGACTTTACGTAATTTGCCTATTTTTTTAAAATTATTCAACATAGAAGAGTCAAACATTGTCTTTGCATTGCTGTTTGGCGCAGTTTTACGGAGCGTCTTGTTTTGGAGTTACGAAACGAGGACGAAAAGTGCAGTCATGTTTTCCAGAACCGGTCTGGTCGGGAAGTAAATTGTGAAATTTGCCACAACTTGGGTAATTTGGGGATTTTCACGAAATTTTCCCACATGGTAGAATAAAACATTCGCTTTCCATTGCTGTTTAGTGCAGGCTTGTGTAGCGTTTGGTTGAACAGATACGAATTTTTAAGTTCAGGTATGTTGGCCAGGACCAGTCGGGCCAGGTTCTAGATTGAAAAATTTACTAGAATTTGGACAATTCGGGTATTTTCACCAAATTCACCAAAGTTGTAGAGCAAAACCTGCTTTTTCCACTGCAGCCCATGCTAGATTTCCGCGAAGTTTCGTTTGAAAGTTACCAATTTTAAAATCCGATTATTTTTCTCAAAACCGGGCCGGGGGTTCCAACATGGTAGAATGAAACATTCGCTTTCCATTGCTGTTTAGTGCAGCGTTTTGTGTAGCGTTTGGTTGAAGAGATACGAATTTTTTAGTTCAGGTATGTTGGCCAGGACCAGTCAGGGCCCATTTCACCAGAATTTGGGCAATTGTATTTTTACCAAATTCACCAACGCTGTAGAGCAAAACCTGCTTTTTTCACTGCAGCCCATGCTAGATTTCCGCGAAGTTTCGTTTGGAAGTTAGCAATTTTTAAATGCGACCATTTTTCGCAAAACCAGTCGGGCCGGAGGTCTAGATTGAAAAATTTGCTAAACTTTGAGCAATTTGGCTATTTTTATTAAATTATTCAGCATGGTAGTCTACTAAAAAACTAAAAAATGTAGAGTCCAGTCCAGTTTTCCAGAACCATTCTGATTGGGAATTAAATTGAAAAATTTACCACAACTTGGGCAATTTGGGGATTTTTACGACATTTGCCAACATGGTAAAGCGAAGAATTCGTTTTCCACTGCTATTTGTGCAGGCTTGCTCGGCCTCTGGTTGGAGACTTACGAATTTTTTTATTTTAAACGAAATTTTCAAAATTTTTAATTATTTGAGACTAAAAATGCATGTCTGGATCAAATATCAAAGAACAAACTTAATGATATTAACTTCATTAGCAAAGAACAACGTCTCTTCTATTCATGTTGAAAGTTTCGATTTTGCACCCTCATCAAGGATTCCTGTGCGAATATTTTTTTTATAGAATTTCTATGGGAGAAGTGTTAAAATATGTTGGAATATTTGCATCACAAACCCAAATTCAACTAAACAATTGCGGAATCTTTCGCCGGAAAGAGACAAGTTTATTTTATATGCCGTGAAGATTTCACAAGAAATTTTTGAAACTGGATAAATCTGGCAACGCGATTAATAATTACAGGGAAACTTGATAACAATTTCATTGACAAGAACAAAGTCGCCTTTATTCATGGGAAAAGTTTTGATCTTCCAGTCTCATCAAGTATTCCTGTGCAAATTTTCGACTATTTTTTATCGAATTTATATAGTAAAAGTGTCGCTTTATTTGAAAACTTGCACCTAAAGCCCACATTCAGCGGGAAAATTGCGGAAACTTTAATCGGAAACTGATACTCGATAAATCTGGAAAATTGATCACAAATTAAGGTAAAAGTTAATAATAAGATTTCCGTTCAAATTCTCAGCCTTATTATCGAATTTTTATGAGTAAAAGTGTCTATTTATGTTTGAAAATTTGCATTTCAAGCTTAAATTTAGCTGGAAACGTGCGGAAATTTTTGCCCGAAAAAGGAGCATTTCTCTCATTCCTCAATATCTTTTACTTACCATAATCGGCAGGATTGTGATAGCTGGGACAGTTTAAGCCCATGCTGGATAAAAATGGTACCAAATTGGTTACAGGTCCGCGATAAATGCATTGTCCTTCTGCTAACATGTACAAGTTGTCGAACATTTCGAACAAACGAGCTGACGGTTGATGGATTGTGCATATTATTGTCCTGCCGCCTCTTGCTAGCGATTTCAACAGACACAAACACTGCAAAAACAACGAAATTGTAAATTCTCGGCCAATATCAACACGACAAAGTTCACCTGGAAACATGAAGAACTGTCTAAACCACTAGTAGGCTCATCGAAAAACATCACTGGAGGATTGTTGACTAGTTCCAAAGCAATCGAGAGCCGTTTCCTTTGGCCGCCAGATAAACATACGGAGGCTGTGTTCAAACAGTCCTGAAGACCTGTGTGAGAAATCAGTGCCGATATTAATTTGAAAAAGCTGGAATTCTAAAGGGATTTACCTAAAATTTCTAAAACTTCGTTGATAATGGCTTTCTTGTCCGAATGGGAAACTGATTTGCCGATTTTGAGATTCGCTGAAACAGTCATGGCTTCCATTACGCTCAAGTGCGGTGAAAGACAATCGTCCTGCATAATGTAGCACGACATTTTCCTAAAGCGACGTTGACTTCTTTCTTTGCCATTGATAAGGACGGAGCCTTCAAGATTCGATGTTCTGAAACAAGTTTATACAATTAAAAATCTGTTCACTTTAGGACTGAAATATCGGTAAAATCGTGTTATTGGATCTGGTTGCTTTTCATTACTGGATATGTTGAGCAGTGGTTTTAATTTTTAGGTCTAATTTAGGCTGAGGAAATTTGTCTCGAAAAGGTTTTAGCAATAGTGTTGAATTAACCTTGCCAAAATCGGTTGAATACTTCCAATTTTTGTATCAAAAATATTTCCTGCGCAATGACTACATGCGATCACTTAAAAAAGTAATAAAATCTGTACGCTCAGGTTATCGCCAAATTAATTATCAAATCCAATGAAAAACATTTTTTTAAATTCTTATAAAAGTCATTTTTGTGAGTAAATTCCATTTCGATTTATGAAATATCGGAATTCTTTGGAAAAATTATTGTAATCGTGTTTTTGGCCGCTTTTTCGGGATTTCCAAACGGCAGTCGAGTTTTAAAATGATCCTCCCCATATTTAAAGCAAATGTTGTGCTCTTACAAAAATAACTTTTTTCAAGTTTGATTGTACAAGTTTGAGAGCCCTTTTTGGCGAAATAAGTTGAACCATTACCTTAAAAAGTGGCAAACTTTTTGCACCATTTATAATTGATTTTACTAATAGCTTCCCCTATCATATCGGCTCTTTAAAAGCTAAAGCACTTCATGAAAAAGTGAAAAAAATAAGAGCTTAAAATGTAAATATACAAATATTGTTTACCTAACGTAAATTTAAGAAACTTAAAACACAAACTTTAGCAAATGTTAAACACGTTCTGATCGTGACTGAAATTTTCAATTCTAGATGTTTTGATACGCACAAATTTATTAGCACTCGAATTTTTAAAATCATTTTATGCGGAAATACGTTTTATGATCTGAAAATGTGTTGAGATTTTAAGATTCATTTGAAAAGCGTGGCTAAATGAAAATGAAACAACAGCAAATTCAGCCCATTAGAAGAAATAAAAAACGGTCTGACACGAAAATTTTTAAAAACGTTTTCAGAGCTTAATGCAGTGAAATAATATTTGGACTTTTTAAGGTCGTTAATCGTCAAATTTAAATTGAAAAAATTTGAAACGGATTCAAACTTCTGGTGTTAGTTTCCAAATAATTACGTAAGGAAAACATTTTGGAGATTAGCTGAATATTTTATGATCCTTTGAAAAATTGAAGACATTGGGTGATCAGAAGAACAAAAGGACTAACATAGGAATAAAGTCAATTGAAGAAATAAGTAAATGAAAGGGCAAAGGGCAAATACTTCTTTTCAAAAGGCTTATGATTTTGCTTGAGACTGGTTAGTTTGTCGGAAATTAGATCTTCGAAAATCATTTCTTCACAACGTTTTTTATTCACCTCGATTTTAAACCCTGAAAAGCTTCAACAAACTTTCCGAAGCATGATATCAAACCAAAAAGTTTACGTTTCTCTTAAGCAAAAATCTCAAACAAACTATTGCGATCCATGAGGTTTTTTGCTCCTAATATTTGTTGCAGATTGCGATGACCTTAGAAACCAAATATCCAAAATTGTAGATAAGTTCTATATTGTTGAGGCAGATTCATTTTTTACAAACTTCTTTTTGGGTATTTTGCCTCAAAAATTTTTGTCTTTAAAAACGACAGAATTTCCTCACGTCTTTTATTACGGATTGATAAATAGTGCTCCTATTTCGCAATAAGAACGAATTATTTATCAAAAAATAATCAAGAACTATCACCTAGAAGGTATCCTGCGACACACTTAGGCTCAAGCTGTAAGAGAAAATTCCAATTAGTAGAGAAATTAATTTGAAAAA